AAGCTGTGAATCATCAATGCCAAGGCCACAAGTAATAGATAATTATAAACTCAAAGAAGACTGTTCTTGACATTTTTGTTTTTTTTATCTGTAGTAATAGGAGTACATCAGGAGGAGTGGTTTGTGTTAAATTTGGGTTTGCCAGGCGAAATATCTCCAAATTTACTGTTAGTATTCAATAACGAAAGATTTTCACCAGACAACCCCTGTCTGTGACTTCACATCCGGTGACATCTGCACTTACCAGAAAACAAGTTAGATTTCGCGATCTTAATTTTCGTTTCTCTCTGGTCATATTAAACTGAAAATGATAAATGAAACACATGTAGAATGAGAAATGCTTCAACTTTCGCCAGGGCTTATACATGTAAGTCCTGTCAGCTTTGTTCTTACCAAAATAGCAATATTTTATGTAGGGGTTGGACGAAGCGCGCCATGTTTTTTTTCGAACGTGTAACACGGTGCGACACTGGTTTTCTGTGGGCTTGTGTCGAAAACAATGAACCATTACACTTGAAATTAGGACTCGTGAATATGCATAAATCATGTATTTTATTCTGCAATTTTCATGACATGACACGTTGGAATAAGCGTAATAGTGCCATTTGAATAAAATATGTGATGGCATCGAAAATAGATTTGTTTACGACGAACGTTTTCGATTATTGTTTTTCAGAAATGTTTTTAATTTGTCGTCGCGCTGATAATTGCCGATACAAATATACGAATTGAAGTCAGATAATTATGAGATATCGGAAATACGAATATTGAAATCGGTTTGCGCTAATTTAACGATTTCCATATATGAAACGCATTGTACTGTCAATCAAGTAATTCAGGTAAATTCAGGAAAAATTACATTATTTATGTTTGCCTTGTCATTAACCTCTGTATATTTGAAATTATCAGGATATTTTTGGATAATAATGTTCATTTTGCTATCTAGTATTAATGTGCCAAATATGTTTGTAGTTGTCCCTTTTTTAATGACAAACCGACTGTTAGAAATCACCCGCCCTCTTTACAAGGCCTTTTGCTGAAATTAATTCAGCAGGCTAAAGGTTAACCAGCAGAAAATGGGTACCCAGTGAAATAAGTCTTGAGATTATTGACCATTTGGCGCCTAACAGGCAGCTTGGGTTTCCCCGGGTAATAATGATCAGATTGTGCACTTTGAGGAGGATATCTAGCCTGCAAAAGGCGCGTTATAAATAATCTCATTATTATTATATCACTCATGGCATAAAATGCAGTATTTCAACAAAATGTATTTATCTATTTGCTCACATATCCGTATCATAACTGTAAAAAATCATACATGAGCAAACAATGTAGGGAAGGTTCACATCATTGCAATATGCAAACGGCTGTCATGTTTATACCGTCATGTTAGTCACTTTCATCATCTCTCTCACTGTCAGTGGATGTCGTAGCAACCCTGACCTCCCTCCACATTTACAACATTCTGTGCATTGGGGACCCGAATGGAGACACTGACACGTCGTCCCAACACTACAAGCACTGTCTGTGCAGTACAAGTGTGTGAGATCTCCTGGTTCCAAAACACCGTCCACTGCTGCTGCCAACCTATTGGTTCACCGAAGATTGGCTTGGGTACATAACAAATGGCTCTCTTCACATGCGAAGAGAAGGCATCTGTTGGAAACGATCCAAAGTTGTACAGGACTGGTAATTTTTTCTGGAACACTGACAGAAAATCTACCTGCTATGGTACCTTCGTCTTCAAAATTATCAGATATAAAAATCAAAAAAATCTCCTCATAGATGCAGGTTCTTCTTAGGCGTGTTGCAAGAGCGGTGCTAACAGTATTTTTTCCAACTTTGTAGAACCTCTCAGTCGTGTCACGACCAGTTAGTGCGTAAGCTGATGGGGGCTGAAATACCGTAGAAAAAATATTGTCCTCCTGAGAGGGTTCATCAGACCACATCTTTTAAAGTATATTAAAGTTCGTTCATTGAATTAAATATGGAGACTTTTACTGTTTTCCCTTTGTTCAAACTGCTAAGGTATTAGCAGTTACATTCATTCCATTAGCTATGAAATTTCATATTCTACTTTTCTGTGTAATTTTACAACCGGAGGTAGGTCCAGGGCCTAGATTTTCGAAGCTCTCTTAGCGCTAAGATAGTCGTAAGTGCCATACATTAACATACGACTATCTTAGCACTAAGAGAGCTTCGAAAATCTAAGCCCGGGTCCGGCTAGCGCAATTCTCAAGTTTAATCACGTTTTGCGTTAGAAAAATAGAATTGGCATCTAAGGGGGCAATTTGCAGATAAAAAGGGATTATTTGTTCCAGGTTTCCTCACACATATATATATATTGACTGGCTCGCCATTTTGATATGTGACAAAGGGTAACAAAGAGTCAGAATATACATTATATTACACACCATTGGTAGTTGACGAACGGGTGCCAAATTACTGTTAATTAAATTTTATCAAATTAAAGGTCGGGCGTGGCCAGCAACAATGAAATGCTCTTAATGTGTCCTGTTTAACACATATACCTTGTTGAGCCGAGAGTAAGACAGCCTCCTTTAGTATGAATACGTTTTTAGGGGATCAGGTTTAGTTTACCCGATGTTTTCATTTCTCGGAACTCAGTCCGCCTATTTGTTTTTGACAAATATGTTTTTAAATAGCCATGAAAAATAGCCATAGCTTTGGGTTAAGTTACACAGCAAACACATTTTCACATTTAATTTATCATGCAGAAAATATTTTTAAAATGCCAAGAATGTATGTCAGGGGAAGACATGCCTGTGAGCATGAAAATATATCAAACAAGAAGGAAATCGCTCATGCCTGATGACATTTTCCCCGTTCAGTGCCTCTTAAGGACATTGTGTTGTTTCACAAATTTTAATCGTGATGTTTTGTATAAATATAATTTGTTAAATAATTGGTAGAATGGATTTGATATCAAAAGAGGTTGAAGTATTGTAGGGGCGGTGGGGTAGCCTATTGGTGAAAGCGTTCGCTCGTCACGCCGAAGACCCGGGTTCGATTCCCTACATGGGAACAATGTGTGAAGCCAATTTCTGGTGTCCCCCGCCAAGATATTGTTGGAATATTGCTAAAAGCAGCGGCGTAAAACTAAACTCACTCACTGAAGTATTGTAGAATATGTGTTCTTTTCACAATCATGGCTAAATTTGTCAAAATAACATCTGAGGTGATGCTGTAGTTCCAGCTAGAGCCCATGCACTGTAACCTACCATGATCTTTCAGTTATATGCTGATATACTTTCAGTCGGTGGCGATCTATAGCCCATTCTATACTGTATTGTTGCATGTATCGCGTATGGTTACATGCTGGTTTTAGGTAAAGGTCACATGCAACCAAAAATAAACAAACATAATTAAAACACAATTCTAATTCAACTTAGTATGTAACACGAGTTCTGATTGGTCAGTGCTATAAATTTCCGACCGTATAATCAGCATATACGGTCGCAATTTGAAAACCGATTCAGCCAAACCTTTGAATGTATCCCTGCACTATTGGGGGTAACGCTGTTTTGCAGGACATTGTCATTTGCAGAAGCCATTGGTCAATTAACTCCCCTATCCAGCTAAAATGGGAGGAATTTGTGGAGCACCTTTAGAATACAGCACCACAAGTTCTCGTGAGGACGATCTCTGCCGTAGGTCACGTGTCATTAAGACAAGCAACCAGTTTGTGAGAACCCGTCGGACGAGAACCCGCGACCCTCGGATTGTTAGCTCGCCAGCTAACCGACTGAGCTACGTCCATACTGTTGCATAATGTGCACATTTATCGAGTCATTCCTGTGACGTCACGGAAATGAACGGAAAGTGTCGACTACTCCTGTGCACGACCTTATAATCCGGACATCCCGCTTCCACGCTGCGCGAACCTATTCACTGCGCATGCTCCATGAGCGCAGTGCAGTGCAGCGCAGCACAGCTGTTGAAACTACTTTTTCACCCCAGCTGGGGTGAATTCAGTTAATCGTTTGAACTCCGATTTCGCGGGGTTTTTTCCTCGCGTTATTTTTCAACTTTATAAGTTGAATTTGCATTTTTGATTATTTGTTACTGTAAGTCCATACCGAAAGGTATCAGAATCTGTTTTACGTTGCATGTAAAGTGTAAATCTGTGATAGTCTAGTTATTCTACTGCCCTTTATCGATTTATATCATCTAAGTTTGTTTTTATTTGCTGAAAAAACTGCCGGTGTCACTTTAGATTTTAACTTTCACTTGAACGGCCGAGGAAAGACCTGAAGCGTCGTTACAATTTTAATCTATCAAGAAGTTCTTAGCCAGAAACGATCCTTATCTTGAAATATCGTTCCTGAAAATTCTAAATTTTGCGACAAAACAATAGGCAATCTAGGATGTCTCGTAGGTTGGTAGGACACATGAGTGTGTAGTCACGGTGAGTCATCAGCTGCAGCTAACACGACGAGCTACAGAGTCGTGCAAACAGTATTCGACACTTGACGTAATTTCCATAGACTTACAGGTTTATTTAGTGTAGCGTAAATAGTTTTCATGAATTTAATTTTCGTAAGATCCAAATCAAAGTTTGCACAATTGTGAGGAATCATCTTACCTACAATCACATAATTTCTGTTTACTTTTCCGTTGCTTATTTGAATGGCAACAAGTTAATCAACATATGTACAGTGCCGTGCACTTCTTTACATGGCGGCCTATGTGATTGTGCATTGTGGAACCCATTCGTAAGTTGATATTAAAATGTGATGTCATTAGTTAAATAGTGGTCGGAAAATTGAACTGAAATTATGTGTGCAGAGCAAAGATGATTTCAAATTTGCCTGTCAAATTTTACAAAGATCCATCATAAACTCACTTTATGAAAATTATTTATGCTATTCTGAAATAACATGTAAGTCTATGGAAATTACGTCAAGTGTCGAATACTTTTTGCACGACTCTGTAACTCGGTCGAAACCGACCGGTAGGTCCAAACAAAAACATCCTACCTTGAAGAATGAGGAATGATGCCACGAGTACACGGCTCAGCACGGTCAATGTCGCCAAGACTAGTTTTGTCAGCTTCATGCTGAAAACACTTTTGAAAATCTGTTTCAGCTGCGGTTGTAGTTCCCGCGATCATGTCTGTGACGTAATGACAGTGATGTACGTCATAATCACTGTGTTACGGCGCAACCGCCCAAACATCATGACGTCATGATAAACTTAGAGTTATCTCCCTTCATGGTGGCGTCGTTGCATGACTTCCGTAACAACGTCTTTTTCTTCGTAATGGTTTTCCGAAATATATAGAAATGAACAGCAAAACATGAGTAACTTAACTCCAGGTAGGACTTGTATTGTATATTTTCAGTTAACGGATGCCGATGTTTATTGATCATTGTTCATTCAGTTGCACGTTGAATTCTTTTTCAAATGTGCATTCATGACAGATTTGAAATTAGCACTGACGTTGTATCATATGTGTTTTCATTTCAACGACGTGACAGATAATGATAATGCTTAACATACTTCAGTACAGTATATGCAAATCATATCCGTCTTCAGCTGTTGTCAATGTTTATCGGAAAAGCCCTAACCCTAAGCAACTAACGGGATCGGATGGTCAGGCTCGCTGACTTGGTTGGCACATGTCATCTATCTCAGTTGAATAGATCGATGCTCGTGCTATTGATCACTGGATCAGGTTTCCAGACTCGATTATTTACATACCGCCGTCATATAGCTGGAATATTTCTGAGTGCGGCGTTAAACAATAATCCAACCCCCAAAATCAGCTGTCGTCTTCACATTTTCCGCTCAAATTTGCAATTATCAACAACTCATTAATAAAATACACTACAATCAATGTTCATTCAATGTCTTAAATTGTTGGTAATATTTATTGCTCCAGCCAAATAGGTGACATATACCAGCTTCTGTCTTTATTTTTGTAAGAAACATCAGCGATATGGATGTTTAATTCTCAGTTTCTCACTTACTTTCCGATTCTGTGTATTTGTAGACACACCAGCGTGTAACTGGGAGTCTGTGGTCTTGGGAAGGGACAACAGGTCAGGTGCTACACCAGATCTTGGGGCTAGTGGAAACAGTGGATCACCTTTATCTACCAGATGCAGCCTAACTTCAAGAAAACTCCAGTTTGAGGTGTGTATTTGGACCCTCTGAAATATGTATCTCCACCAGAGGAGCTGCAATGGTTTAACAAAACACACGTTAAGAAAAAATTATGATATGCATGGATTTGATCTCTAAATGAGAATAGCATTTTTGATATTTCAGTGTTTGGATGTTTGGACAGTTGTATGTAGGAGGTAACTATATTAAAATATGACTATAGATTAGACTTCGTCAAAAATTTAGGAATCACATTCTACTCACATTTGAATACCAACTAATTTTCGCTGGACATCAACATAGTATATTTTGCTATAGTTCCTGTTTTATTACTTAATAACCCTGCTTGGTTAGTACATGAAATTAATCTGATTACAATCTGCCCTGCAAACGTGTAGAAGTATACCTTGTCTCGCCTTGCTTTGTCAAATTTAATTTCTATCATTATTTTCAATGTTACATAATCAGTAATTGTGTTTGTTGTTGCCATTTTCAGTCAGGTTGTACAAACGGAAATACAGCTGGCACTCCACGCATCTCAACAGAACCATGGAGAGACACTCAAGAGTTTTCCCCACCATTCCAAAACACAACCAACACGCACTTCGTCCTGCCATCCGGACACCAGCAAAGCCCTCCTCTTCAGCCATTGCAGACACGGGCCCACGGGTCTGGCTATCCAAGCAGCTGTAGCAGAGCACCATTTCAAAATGAATACACAGGTTTACGAAAATATGACATGAGTGAACATAAATCAGGAAATGGATTAAACAATGAAACCCATTGTAAACAAGCAATGTCTAGATGTCTTGAAGCATCTGGTCCCAGCAACATCAATGATATCAACAGATGTATCGTGTATTCAGCACAGTCCAAGGATCTGACTCCGATCAGCAATATGCTGAAGTCGTGCCAAGTGTTTCATCCACTGGACGCAGTTCCAAAGACGCCTAGGTCATCCCCCGTGAAGGGACCAGTACGGTCGTTAATGGACGGTGGGGATGCATTGGATGTGAGGGGCCTGGCTTCCCGGTTGTCCAAGATGCAGTCGGAGTCCAGTATGCGAGATGCACTGCAGGAGTACATCCACACACACGTTCCTTCTGTTGAAGGTGCAGTGGACTCGCTGATTGAGGACACGGTCCAGCAGATTGCTACTGTTAGTCTGCGAGACAGGAATCCTAGGAGGTGTGTCTCTGGCATTACAGCAACACGAGACTGGCTGAAGCTTCAAAATGGCTGTGGAGTAGGCGCCTCTCCTTCCAGAAGCAATAACCACGGAAAGCCACAGCCAACGAGTCCCCATTGGGTTCACTCAAAGTCCTTAAGTCCAAACCAAAAGAACTTAATGTCACCAAATCATCACCAAACAGCTTTATCTTCATCCGTTCCAAATCAATCGGGATTAGGTTCGGGGAATCAGAACTGGCAGATCACACAATCCTATCCCAATGGTTCGCGCGTCTATGTTAACCTACCGTCAACAAGTTCGAGTCGGGATGATTTCAATCGGCGACAGGTATGTCAGATTCTAGGCGTGTCATCATCAGAGATGGTTGAGTTGGACAGCATGAGTCTACATCGGCGAAATGAGTACACGCTCCCGGGATGCAACGATGACAACCAGAAGGTGACGGAGGTGTACGACATCAGCGGCGAGGTACTCTACACCGACTACGTGTCTCCAGAAGAACGCCGATACGAACATTACCTATCAAAGACGTGCCACAGGTCAAAGAGGAAGTTCCAGGATGTTGACAACATGGATGGACATTGGGGGAAGAGGAAGATGTCTTTTGTGAGGGAAGAACTCACAGATTCCCGGCTTATTAGGTTCAACAATGGCTCGTGGAATTAATTATCAAATTATATGCTAGTCTGTTAAATAAACCTTAAACCTTGGAGAAGGGAATTTCGAAGAATTTTATTAGATATCCGAATGCAGAATTATAAACTAATTAAAACTTGATCAGTATTCTTGACTTGAAGGAATGCTTGGACTCTTTCTAAGCACAAAATCTTTAGTGTTATGTATTTGTCAATATGAACTGTTATAATATTTTTATAATGTATATTTTATGTGAAACTAGTGCTCTAGACACATTCCACATTCAGCCTAATTACAAATGTATTGTATTAATTTAGAAAGCATCTGTGACGTGCGCTATATCTTTCGATAATAAAATCCAGTACTATACAATTATAATATCTAAAGCGTTTCTCTTCATTGCATTATAAGGTGAACACAGTGGTTTCATTTAGAATGTAGACAGGTGGAATGTGCGCCTATCCGAAGTCGGAGGCGTTGGGGTAGCCTTGTGGTTAAAGCGTTCGCTCGTCACGCCGAAGACCCGGGTTCAATTCCCCACATGGGTACAATATGTGAAACCAATTTCTGGTGTTCCCTGTCGTGCTATTGCTGGAATATTGCTAAAAGCGGCGTAAAACTTCGCTCACACACTATCCAAATCATATATTGCCATGAAAGTAAGTTTATAACAAGGCATTATCGGTGGAAAGTGAAGGTGAAATGAAATTGTTGAAGTTAAAAAATGTTCAACCCCAAAAATTGTACAACTCGGGTAAGAAATGAAACATTTATTAAAGTGTCGCAAATAGTATTGTTCTCAGGCCAATTTTCCATTACTCACTCTGTTAAACGTAATGCCCTGTCTATGATGGCACGGTGCTGTGGTGCTTGAAAATTACTAACATCCACGTTCACATATAAAATGATATATTTGATCCCACTTCACATGCATTGATGCTCTACATACCCTTACAGTTTAGGAAAGTTAACAGCCTAATAAACCCATGAAAATCCTGGTTAATATTGATCTTCAGTAACCCATGCTTGTCGTAAAATTCAAAAAAAGGAAATAGGGTGGTCAGGCTCCCTGATTTGGTTGACTCACGTCATCGTATCCCAGTTGCGTTGATCGATGTTCATGCTGCTGGTGTTCATGCTGCTGATGTTCATGCTGCTGGTGTTCATGTATACAGACCGCCGCCATAGAGCTGGAATATTGCTGAGTGTGGCGTTACACAACAGCCAATCCAAACCATACACACAGAGGCTGAAGTAGTACATGTATATTAATGATATTAATGAATTGTAACAAACATAACTGTTAAGTAGATCATTTTGAAAAAAATCTACTGTATATCAGCCATATTACACAGATATATTCTGAGTGAACGTCTGACGTCTTCATATCGGGAATACTAAATTATCGATGCAAGCGAGAGTAGTATTCGAGCTATCATAGCTGATTCCTGTATCTTGAAGACCGCCTCCGTGGTGTGGTGGTTAGAGCGTCCGCCCGGAGAGCGGAAGGTCGCGGGTTCGATGCCCGACCGCGTCATACCAAAATACGTTAAAATATGGTACTTGTTTGTCCCTGCCTGACGCTCGGCATTAATGGGTACAACAAGGACTGGTCGGCTCGGAGTCAGTATAATGTGTCTGACTGGGGTATTCATGCTTCACTGCGGCATGGTATCTCAGTGGGCTAGCACTATAAAACCAGCTTAAGTCTGGGCTAGTACAAGCAACCGCACATACACATACACACGCATGCACGTCGTCATATGAGCGAAATATTCTCAAGTACGACGTAAAACCCAATTTCACCTCACCTCACCTCACCTGTATCTTGTAAACTAACTTATAGAGTCAGTTCGGAATGTACTAGTAATCAGAAAAGGTAAATGAATATGGTTTTGTGGATAATTTAAACACACTGTCATTTCTGAGCTATGACATCTGAGGGGAAAAACATATTTAGATAATGTGTGTGTCCTTTGTTGTTTTTCTTTCGTTAAAATCGAAATAGCCGAATCATCATGGTCTTAAAAATTCCGAATCGATTTAGAAAGATGGAATCCCAGGAATCCGAGCGAATATGTATAAATGTATTTAGGTTTACCGTGCTTTTAGCAATATTCCATCAATATCACGGAGGGGGACATCAGAAATCGGGTTTCACACATTGTACCCATGTGGGGAATCGAACCCGGGTTTTCGGCGTGAGCAGCGAACGCTATTCACTTGGCTATCCCACGGCCCCTTCCACTGTACAATTATGGTATCTGATATATTAGATCTGATTTTAATGTTTCTGATGAAAGCGTTTCAATTTTTCCCTCCCCATTATCTTAATACTGGTCGATATATTAATGTTCTGTTGATCAGCGTATATGTACTTATTTTCAGTTATTCTATTCTTACACACACGTCCTGGATCTAACAACAACACTGTTTATTTTTGTTACAAAATTTCGTTTATATGTCTGACTTTTTAATATTAAAATGAAAATGTATGTATGCGAGCGGGACTAATATCGATGTGATACGAGTGACAAGACAGTTCAAATGTGAACGCAAACTTGTTTCGCTCACAAAGGGCAGCTTACTCTGCTCAACCGAGCACTTGCCGCTAGATGGCGGGTTAACGTTGCTACCTGTAAACAACATGGCTGACCGCTAGCACGCTTTTGCATCCAGCAAGGTGTTTGACAGGCCCTGTCATGTTATGTAATGTTACCTAATGGAAATTACGGGTCATGGAACTGTACTGAGTTTATTGCGGACATGGGTTAAAGAGAGAAGGTAAGATGTGATGACAGAATTGGAAATTATGCTGAATTTAAATTGATGCAGGTCTACTTAGCTTCGGAATGTTGACATTATTGTCAATATGTTGTCAATGAATTGTCCAACTAAAAGGAAGTCTTATAACATTTTTATATTGCATGACATGAACGATCGGAAGAACGTCATTGACAGTTCGATATAAATTGTTTTACAGAGACACTTTGTCACGCACGTATGATGATGTCACGTTGATAATCCATTACGAAGAATAGAAACTTGATCTATATGGTTAATAAAACTCGACATTCTACCAATGACATTAGTATATTCAGATTTGCTTGGCCTTTGACTAATTATATTCACGGTATGGCAGTGTTAATTGGAATGGTAGGTTAATTTTCAAACAATTTACTTGCAACGTGCTTTCATTCACAAGGTCGAAAATACTTTTGTGGTTGAGATTAGACCTTTATTTCCTTTCAAGTAAGGGCATGATAGGGCAGGTAGATGGGACTGATAAGTCTTTTAAAATCTTTTCTATTCTAAGGTCCAGCAACTATATAGGTTAACAGCTGCAAGGTTATCTTGTTTTTTGTTATATTTTCATTTAAGCATTTTTATGCCATGAACTGTAAACAACATGTAAAATCAAGTACATTAGTAGAAATACAAACAAATGTGTCACCAGGCACTGATGATGAGCCATTAAAGACATGTTAATTAATGTATAGTGAGGTGAAATTGGGTTTTACGTCGTGCTTGAGAATATTTCGCTCATATGACGACGTGCATGCATGTGTGTATGTGTATGTGCGGCTGCTTGTACTAGCCCAGACTTAAGCTGGTTTTATAGTGCTAGCCCACTGAGGTACCATGCCGCAGTGAAGCATGAATACCCCACTCAGACACATTATACTGACTCCGAGCCGACCAGTCCTTGTACCCATTAATGCCGAGCGCCAGGCAGGGACAAACAAGTACCATATTTTAACGTCTTTTGGTATGACGCGGTCGGGGATTGAACCCGCGACCTTCCGCTCTCCGGGCGGACGCACTAACCACTACACCACGGAGGCGGTCAATTTTTGTATAGTGTGTACATTGTTTGTTTTTTACGTTGACCTCCATATGAGCAAAAGAACATATTAAAATCTTATAAAAAACAAGTAATATCTCTGAATGTAATCATCAATCTCATCAGTTAGTGTCCCCAGAACAAGTATCATGAGAAAATTAAATATCTTTCCATCTCCCAAAATAATAAACAGGATAAATATTTTTGGATTAGGAAATGAAAATTCCTCCTACCCTTCAGCTACTCCAGATGGGATTAACCAGAGACTGAATTGTTCTATGTATATTGGTGTTAATTAGAAATATCACTCTCCAGTATTTCAGTTTGTCAGAGAAATAAAACAATGGCAATGAGGGCTGTTTTGTATCAGGGAGGGAAGTGTTTCATCACTTCAGGGCAACAATGAAGATCTGAGCCCATGCATGCTAAAGTGCTGCTGTAATCAAGGTAGCAAATACAAATACATAAAATAGTGAAAGTACTTACTTAAGCTATTGATAGTCAGTATTTTCCTGTTATTTACAAAAACAATAACATCAACATAGACCATTGATGTCTAAACCTGTAATCTATGTATTACTACTATCTCATGGCAGTAAATGGATGGTTAGTTGGATGAAAGCTCCTTATTCCTAATTCGTTATTTTCCTGTGTATAATCTTTATTTTGTAGGAGTATAAAGACAGTCCCTCTACAATCTCAAAAAACAAAGTTAATGCCATGTTTGTACAGAATATCCTTGCATACCATCTGGTGTTTAGCTGAATACCGCAGGGTATTATGATCAGCCTGTGTTTAGTCGCCAGTGGGGATCTTTATCTGTATTCATCAGTCTTTTCAAAACCAGCCATTTGTGAATATCGTGTTTCTTCTATTGATAAGCCATACATCAACACCCATTGATTTGTGAGGTGGCATTGAGAGGGGCACTTCACAGTGTTGTAAGTTTTAGAGAAGCCCATGCCGGACATTAATCAGTTGGGATCTCCACAGTGTTGACACTTCTAGAGTCTATACAGGTTATCTTTGAGGTGGGTGGTATTTTATACTGACTATTGAAATGGTTATCATGTGGAACATAACTACTGGTGTTTATTTAACTATGGACTGATGTCTTTCAGCTCTATAGTTACCTTGTTTTTTCAGAGATCAGAGCTTCTGTCAAACTGTGTAGCCACATAAAATTATTTTTAAAATTTTATTCAAAATCCATACATATATTTATTTACTCTCGTCCAAGAAATATGTACATGGCCAAACTGGAATTTGTTAAGTATTACCATTTACTGTCATTAATTTATAATTTGTCAAACTCCTATATTTAAAACACTGTTAGTTGTAAAAAGTATGACCTTTCCATATGTATGCATATGGACAAAACTACATTCAGACACTTTCATGATGGATGTTTAAATACACATTTTACAATGATAAATAGCATGGTGTGATACGTTCTGAAACTAGACTTTGCCAAAGCATTAAGAGGTTTTTGTTTCAGTGTTAGTTGTGTAAATTTCCAGCATTCTGTTTAGTTTCAGTGGTAAGATCAAATCCAGACTTGTTTAGTGAAAACAGTGAATGTTGTCTGGCTCATGCTGTATCTGTTAATCATTTGGTCCTATTAGCAAATATTCTGAACCAGGACATCAGAAATTCCAAGGAAAATCTTGGTGCAAGTTTTGGCATTATGATATATACTCTTTTTCGTTATTTCTTTTCAGCAGATAATCTGGACATAACAGTATTTGTTATATAGAATATATAAAATACTAGGTAATAATCTATCTGGTTTGTATGCCCAAACCGATTTCGTTGTTGTAAAAATGGAAAACAGTGTCACCAGAAAATGACACCATGTGCTCGTGAAAAGGTAGACAAAACCTTGGTCTCTGAATATGAATAAATTTGATAGGAAATGATTCCATTTAAATTAAAAAAGAGCTCCAGTGAGTTGGGAGATTCCTGAAACTGAGGAAAATCTGGACTTCATTTGGGTGGAAGGGAAAATAATGTAGTTCATGGACTGTGAGACAGACAAAAGAAGATGGTGAAGCGGTTGGCATGTCATCCTCCAAGAGTAACTCCTGCTATTAGGGATGAAAATTTTCTGTGGATCCAGAGAAATCCACGCTAATTTAGATCTGGGTCTTCAAACCTGGGTCTTCGGCGTGACAAACAAAATGCTTTAACCACTAGGCTAACCCACCGCTCTGGGTGTGTGTTAGGATATTATGATTCACTTGCATATTCCGTGAATTGAACCATATTTATTGATTCAATTTGTTATTGGCTATCACAAGAATAAAATATTCATGATTTAATTTTTTTACACCAATTTATCTGTTATTTTACAAAACAAGATATGCAAAATGTCATGTATCAAAGTCAAAGTGGTTCCGATGACACCTGTTTAACGTTTAGGGTAGGTAGGTAGGAATTTTTAAATTTTTATTGCATATTTTCTTAGAAGAAAAGTACAAACTAATAACACATTTATCAAAGTGTAATTGTTTATTTAATCAAGCTTGCAGCTATCATATGGACTTTCTCTATCAGAATGACCGATGTCTGTTGGTGCCGGGAAAAATTGGTATCTGAAAGCTTATTTTATTCATACCACCTAAAAAAATAGAGTCGGCACCAGAAGTCAAGGGTCGGTTGGGTAATCGGAACCACAACATTTTTTTTAGGCCTTGTCAACACTCCATTATTCCCCCATAATGTGGTCATTAGTCACATTTATGGCAAACTAACACTGTCGACATGGTCAAAACTTGGTTAATAATTCATTTTTTTAATCATACGATTATACCTAACTAAAATTAGTTTGTTATTTAACTGTAGTTTGGAGTATTTGGGTTTGGGTGGATTGGGGAGTAAACTAATGTGAAAATTACCAGATACATAGGCCGTGATAAAACTTATCCTTCTTTTCAAACTGGTCATTTGGGCCAGTAGACATGAAAACTTACTGGCCCAAGCTGTTTTCTACTTGCCCAGTAAAAACAAACGATGCAGTGGAAAACTCAGCTGTATATTAACCAACTGTAGTACTCGAAATACAAATGCCTATGGTGAGGCAAAATCATTAAAATGCACATTATATATCATAGATGACTAGAAGTTGTAGGTAATAGAAATGACAAAATCTTTGTGGATGATCACCTTTATTGTACAATATCAACATTTTGATGTTAATACATACCATTTTCAAGCACAGCCCTAAGATCATCCACAATGTCAATTGTTTGGCAGGTGACTACGTTTTCAATAAACCACCACATATTTCTGCCATTACCCGTCAAGCAGAGGCGCTTACTTCCTAAAGTATGAACTTCCAGATTAATGTGTTTACAAATGAAACAAAAGTAGGTAACGAACGCGTGTGTGGCAGGCCATATTAAAGAGAAAATTATCAGTGTTACTGACATATCTTTATAATCAGTGATGATAATGACACATGCCCTTGTTGCCCACCGAATGACCAGTGGCATGGTTTTAATTCGACCAGACAAAATTCTACTCGCCTCAGGCCTCTAAGCGAATGTTAATTTCTATCACTGCATAGGGTAATGTGTAGTGTTGGGAATCGGAAACCAAATCCACTATCGATTATTGGAGGATTGTGGTGAACGATTATCGATTTTAATCGAAATATATACATTTTCAATGTAATCACCAATTTTAAGGGTTTTTCCCCAGTTTTTTTCTAATTAATGTTTTTTTTATAACTAATGCTGTCATGCAATGAAATGCACACATGCAAGAAAGACACTGGAATTGTAATTAAACAATAAAAGTGGTTAAATTTTACAGTGGACATAGCTTTAGGCTGTTGAGCGCATGTTTGTTCATGAATATTCGTCAAATTTGATGGTTAGTTTACTCATTCAAGGGTGTTATATAAAAACAACAAAATTTCGATTAATCAAAAATATGTTTTTTACAATTGATAATCATTTTTACTCTTTCTTTCGATCGATTTTCGATTATTTTCAGTCATCCGAACATCACTAGTAATGTGTGTTGTTTCCATTTGAAAGACATTTTGAGATCGTGGCCTCTGCCTGGCAAATAACCTTATCAGTCACTCTGTGTGTTACACCGACCTGGGTAATACAATGTACACATGTATCTGTGCAATGTAAGCCTTTAAATCCACAGTGTCGTATATAAGCATGATCTCCAAGATGAAATGAGCAAGTTTGTTTGGGAATATGTTTCATATGCGATGGTTGCTATGAATATATGCAGAGAGACATGCACAATTTGTTTGCGTGTGTTTGGACAGACAGCGTTGTGTGTGTTTTGTGTAAGCTCTCCCACACGAGGATCTTGTCACATGATCAGACTGACAAGTTCATGGGAGGTTTGATGAATGATAATTTTCCAATTTTATTAAAACAATGCAGGGACAGGAATGTAATACGACATTATCAGTGTTATTCAAAATATTCTCATGCTTACTTGGGCTGTAATCATTCATTTCTTATTTGATGTAACGCATCCTTCATGTGTTAGAATTGAAATATTCATGAATTGAGGTTAGTACACATGGGGAAGGAAGGCATTAATTTTTTCATTGAAAATAGATGCAGAGTAAAAATTGAAGCTGTAGTCTTCAAGTGAATTTGAAAAAATAATTTAAAAGAATAAATGGTATGTGTTGAGAATAAGTTAAACATGAATGGTAATTTTCCAATGCGAGTTTCCTGAACAATCTGTATTAAAACAATGGATCAGGGACAGGAATACAGATGATATGTTCGTCTAACATAATACTCTCATGCTTATTTAGGCTGTAATCATTCATTTCTTATTTGATGTAACGCATCCTTCATGCATTCAATTTGTTAATTATGATGACTAGAATTAAAATATTCATGAATTTATTTAAAATGGAGTATTTGTACATAAATTTAGTGTCATCTATCAAAATGAAATAATAAAAATAGAATTAGATGATAGACGAGACTCACTATATTAAGGAGGACAATATTTTGGTCACTAATCATTGTTGAGATAAATTTATAGAGCAGGCTAAAAAGATCGATAAACATAATATCATTGATGGAAAGAATTACCAATGATTATCAAATGGAAAATTATGTAATTGATAATATTGTATTTAACTATTTGAAATAAAGCTTGTATTTAATTATGTGTTTCTCAAAGACTGATTCTAAAATCTGTTCATCACTGGTTTTGCTGGTAATCCATGAATAAAACTATATTACAGCTCACCATTGATGTGAAATAACTTATTTTTCCGGGTTTTTTTTCTGAATTTGGTTTGAAAAATGTTTTTAAAAAAATATTGTGTCAAAATATTGTGCTGCTGTTCCTATCAGAGGAAATAGTTGCCGTCTTGTCATTGTGAAACAAAAATTATCCCTGACCAAAATTCTGTGCTCTTTTGCACAAAGACACCAAACCCAAAAAGTATGACACAGTATGTTCCTTAATTGACTTCACTAGCATTATACGTACACATAATTTCAAACATGTAATATATGTATTTTTCACCTTTACAGATGATTCCATAGGATAAAGTACACCAGCCATTTATGAAAAATGATGTGAAAAAACAGTGAAACAGCAAACCAACCAGATTACCAATATGTCTGTTTCCGTGGAGCCCCCCCAGGACAAGGATCCACCAGGGTCAGTGACTGAATGTGTAACCAGCGACCGTGACCAGTACGATCCTACTACACTGGCCAGCATGTTGAAACTGACCTCCAGACTGGATGCCAGCAACAATTCAATCAATGAAGCTGACGAGGTCGATGACCAATCGATTCTGGATTTTGTTGATGACCTGTCAATGGGGAAGTATGACGCTGATGAAGACAGCGATTATGATATTGACACAGGAATGGACCGACATGCGGATGTTGATGAGGTGTTTGAAGAAATAAAGGAGACTATTTCGAGGAATTTAGAAAGAAAAAACTCTGCTGTGTCTAACCTGAGTTTGTCATCTTCAAGTAGCGAGGGTCAAGTTGTGAAAATATCCGACAACTTTACCTCCATTCCGTATGGAATACAGCCGAGAGCTACGTATGAACATGGGAAGAAAAGCTCTGATATTATGGGAGGTGAGTATTACTACATCCAGGGATGGAGTGAGTAAGTGAGTTTGGTTTTACACCTCTTGTAGCAATATTCCAGCAATATCACGACGGGGGACACCAGATATTGGCTTCACACATTGTACCCATGTGGAGAATCGAACCCGAGACTTCAGCGTGACGGGCAAATGCTTTAACCACTAGGCTACCCCACCGCAACTCCAGGAATGGAAATTAATCAAGAATGTCAAAAACTCATTTAGTAACATCATTAAGCAATATCCCCAAAATGTTCCAAATTCTGCTAGCCCTTCAGGTACCGTTAATATCAACGGAACTGGTCCAGGCTAGCAGACAGTAGACTAACATGTATTCTCCAAAATGTGCATATTTTACACAAACTGTTCATAAAAAATAATTATAAAATATAATGAAAAGGAACCCAGAGACCTTCTTCATTTTCCGAAACTGTGGCAATCTAGACTTGCCACATATTCTAGACTTGCATGGACTTTCTTGGATATATTTGTGTAAGGGTCTGTATGACAGACTAAGCTGACAGGTGCTAGTTTCCTTCCTAGCAATCAGAATGGTATTCAGGTCAGATCATTAGTAAACATCGCCCAAAACAGCATTGCTGTCCACCATTTAATCTGATGTGTGCGGTTGAATGCATTGTTGCTGTTGTTACTCCACTTGTTTGTTTATATTGACCTCATATCTGCCCCTTACTCAATAAATTTGCTCTTTATAATAATTCCTGCTCTGTGGTTCATCAGCATAGACAACAAGAAAGCATTAGTCATCTATCATAAGTATGTAGTTCATCATCCTAAGGAATAAGTGTGACATGGGCATGTTGTTTATTTCATGCTTTGAACTTACAGGAAGGCTTTGGATGTTGCATTCTTTAAACAGCAGCACTAACAGAGATGCCAACTCATACGATTTTATCGTATTCGCTACAAAAAAACAACAACACAAAATATGCGTAGTCCTACCATAGCAGTAAAAATATACAAATTTTAAAAAAATACATTAAATTAAATTATCAATAGCATATGTACCATACACAATAAATTGCAACCACATTATATTCAGTATCAAGCAATATGTGGATACTTACTACTGATTTAGGTGAGTTTAGTTTTAGTTTTACGCCACACTCAGCAATATTCCAGCTATAAGGCAGAGCTGAGTACAATGTTATTAACAAGTTCTTAGAATATCTATATATTCTTTATTAAATATGAAAATTCTTTGGAAAGGTTAATACTAATTTTGGCCAAAATATACTAATTTTTGCATCAGTTTTTGGCCAAAATACTAATTGGGCTAAATTTGGGTTGGCATCTCTGCACTAAATGTAAACATAAGGCTAAAATATGTCAATAAGGTTGATTTTAGAGAATTTATGGAAGGATTTTTGTTTAATACCTGCACATGAGTAAAACTGTGATATGCGTTGACTTTCTCAGGAGAGAAACATCTGGTAAAGAATGTACTGACCTGTTTCTATATAGATTTTACCTTAACATTGTAAAATGGACCTTTTTCACTTATTTTGAATATTCTTGTGTGTCATTTCCAACCAATATTTTACCCGTGAAGGTCCAGGTTAGAATATTGATCTTCAGTAACCCATGCTTGTCATAAGAGGTGACTAACGGGATCAGGTGGTCAGGCTCGCTGACTTGGTTGACACATGTCATCGGTTACCCATTGTGCAGATCAATGCTCATGCTGTTGATCACTGGATTGTCTGGTCCAGACTTGATTATTTACAGACCGCCACCATATAGCTTGAATATTGCTGAGTGCCGTGTAAAACTAAACTCACTCACTCACTCCAATCAATATTTAAAAATTTGTATTTTAAAACTTGACATTTCCAGTTGTCTGAAATAGTTTTCCTCATACCTTACGCCATAATCATTCAAAGCTCATATAGTGATAAATAGTTTCAAGTCAAAGCAAATGGGATAACATGATAATTGAGATTTCTTAATGACTTGTCCGGTTCACTTACTACAAGAATGACTTTGAAATGATCATGTGACATAGTTGAAGTCTACATTTGTCTCCCCTGTCAGTGTCGTACAACGGGAGGATGAGGCAGTTCATCATTCTGGATGCTAAAGGGGTGATCACCTGGAAGAGGGATGCTGTGGACACCAGAGGTTTGTTTGTTGATTTGTACGTTTGTTACTTTGTTTGTTATGCCACATCAGTCGTGGCAACTGTAAGTAATTGTGATAAACCAGTGGTTGATGATAACAGCAATGACTGCCTGATCCAATTTTGTTGAAAACCAAAATTTGTCTGTCTGTTCTTCCATTTGCTTACTTACAAGAGACCCACGAAGATCTGGGTTAGGATTGATCTTCAGCAAGCTATGCTTGTCGTAAGAGGCGAGTAACGGGTTTGGGTGGTCAGGCTCGCTGACATGGTTGATGTATGTCATTGTATGCCAGTTGTGTAGATAGATGCTCATGATGTCAATCACTGGATTGTCTGGTCCAGACTTGATTATTTACAGACAACTGTCACACAGCTGGCATATTGCTGAGTGCTGCTTTAAAAAAATTTGAAAAATAAAATCACAGGAGATGAAGGTGTGTGGTGGAACTGGCAGTTCCCTTTACTGCTTCAAGTTTATTCCAGTTAAAACAAACAGAGTGTGTTAACCTGTCAACAGGTTTATACTAATCAGAATAATCTGGTTTATATATAGTCACTTTTAATATTCCAGCAATATCACAGCGTAGGACACAAGAAATGGACTTAATCAGTCTTGTACTCATTTGGGGATCAAACCTGGGTCTCGCTTTGACAAGGCTCAAAAGCTTGACAGTCACCCCTTCTCATAAGAGGAAGTTGTGTAATCTGTTGTAAGTGACTTGTGTACTTAAACATACAATTAACAGCATTATTTCTTTAATCGTCGATTAATGCTCGCTGTCAGCCCCATGCTTACCATTATCTCTATGCTGAGTAAGTATTGTTTAATGCCACTTTTAGCATATTCCAGCAATATCACAGCATAGGACACAAGAAATGGACTTCACACATTGTACTCATTTGGGGAATCAAACGTACAATTAACAGCAGGATAATGAATTAATGCTGAAATACATACATCACAAAACAGTTACATAGTTAACAGATGAGGCCCAATGGGAATCATGGGGCAGTGTTCACTCCTAGACGTGTTTTACGATTGTCACACAAGATCCTACTGACATGAGTATCATGTGATTATAATAATGCCTATAGTCTGTTTGCAGTGAAAATGTACCGATGAATTTCACTTTAAACAAAAAGGTAAATCAAATAAAGTGAAGTTAAGATTGCGAATCCTCATAATTTTACCTTGCCAATTGAACATTTAAATCTCAGAATTATATTCAGCTTAGGATAAAAGTTGATTAACAAACGATCATAGTTTCAAATCGCTACTATTGGTTTGTATTACAAGGGGCTATGCACATTAAATGAAACACCAAGAACATGTAGTTTTGGTTGAAGTTAACGCTCATCACGTACCGCACGTGCATTTGTTTCACTGTTCCAACTACTGCGCTTACCCCCATGTAATATGTTTCTTTATTTTACCACTTCAAGGTATTAAGATAATTCACACCTAAACCACATCAGGTAGATAAATATTTAATGGGGTGTACATTGCATAGCTTGATAAGAGGTGTCAGTAGAGCACTTGCATTATCCTGTGGTGGAGACTGTAATCTACACTTGTCAATATCATTGATTACATATGGCACTGCAATTGACGCATGCACATTTCATTCCTATTAACCTGATCATTAGAGTGCTAGGTCATGGTGATACAGGGAGCTGACACAGTCCAGGATCTACTTGCACAAAGTGATCTGAGCGCTACGGTGACCGTAAGCCCTTGGTGAAGTGTGGGAGTTGTGATCGTTGTAGTGCAAAGATCACTTTGTACAAGTGTGTACAAGAGTACATCCATAGCTTCATGTGTCAGATATTCAGTATGTTTGGAAGTACAGGGTTTTCTGTATTTAAGTCAATAAACAACATCTTGAAACATAAATACAAAATGTCATTTAGAAAGTGTTCAGATGTAACATATTTCATATTTTAGATTACACTTTCTCAGTAAAGTAGATTCTTGTACTTTTCTCGGGTTGAGTCCCATCTGGGATTCAAACCACACCCTCAGAGTCAGGCACCTAATCGCCAACACACAAAGTCAGCTGTCTAACCCACTCAGCCATTGCTGCTGCCACAAAAATGGAAGTTGGACAACTGAAAATCTAGATGACTGACTTTGTGTACCCCTCTGATAAGTGTAAATTAGCTACATGAAAGCTATGTATACACAATGCCATTTGGAAAGTGGCCAGATGTAACATATGTTATATCTGGGAATACATTCATGAGAGGGGTACACAAAGTTTGATTGTATAAATATGTAATTTAATTATTAGGAAAAGAAAAATAAAGACATGTGAGAGACAATGACATAAGACAATGTTATATTTCAGTGACTCAAGCCTTGACCTATCCGACGTACGAGTACCGACTCATAACACACCTGGTGTATGCAAGGAAACACAACTGCTACTTTGCACTGGCAAAAGATTTTAGTTTAAAGGTAAGACAGATTGTCCAATACTAATGACACATGGCACAATCTGTGTCATAATTCTTGATGCAAGACCAATGTATTTTCTTGTGTTATCAATGAACTCAAACCTTGGAAATTTGTGGTCAGGTTTACGGCACTAGTCAAGATGACAACAAGATTTCCTGGTCCCTAGACCTGGTTGATGGAGACAAAAATATCAACTGTGCCTATATATTCTTTGACAGTGCTATTCAATTCTAATTGTAAGCAAAAATGAAGCCTTGAGAAATGGTTCAGGGCCCAGCTCCTCAAAGCGATCGAGAAGTCTGGTTAAAGTATGGGAGTTAAATCACCTTATAGGAACGGGGCCTAGAACTATAGCCTTCAAATGCTGCTAGCCAGTGAAGACAACCTTCTTTGAATTAACTAGTCCTCAGGACAATTTTGTAGTCTCAAGCTAGTGGACAAGCTTTAATTTTAATGGTTTACCCAAAATGTCAGAAAGTGAAAAATTAAACTTGTGTGTATTTATTTTGATTCCTACAAGGGCTTTTGTGTTGGAAGAAACCCCCAGACTTTTTTGTCTGGTCTCCAGAATATTGTATTTACTGTTCTGCATCGTCCAGGTGATGAACCGAGACTTTGTGGAGACGTGTTCTGTGAGTGCAGACCTGAGTTCTGTGTTGTTTATGTTGTTCAACCCTGTCCGAGATGAGCTGATCACCGGAGGAGTTGGAGGAACAAAAGTAAGTAGAACATTTATCAGCTGATCAGAATGATCAATCCAGACTGTGTTTGCTGAATTTACACATTAATTTCACAATTTTTTGTTGATGTTATTTTGTAGCTATGACAAGTACTAGTAATACATTTGGAGGATAACCCACTAGCTACGAGCTATTTGTGACAATGCCTTGACATGACATCCCATTGCTGCGACCCCAAATCTGTAATGCTGAGTTAAAATTTAATGCTAAAAAAATAATTTACCTGTATCCTACCCTTTTGGTGTTGTGTATTTTAAAATAAATTTCAGTGACATCATTTTGTCAGACTGAACTCCATGTAGTTGGTAGTGTTTTAATGGATTGTCTTCTTCTGTGTTTATTAACCCTGGGTACCTGGATTAGACTTGGTCCTCAGCACTGGCTAGTGTTGGGAATTGGTTAAAATCTCATAATTGATGATTGGTCATTACAACCAATCAATCATTGAAAATAATTGGTTAGCGTCATTTATCAAATTATCTTGTTATGTTTGTTAATGCACACAAAAAATAGAGAAAAAACATGTAGTTCTTTGGGTTTTTTTTGCAAATTGCACATCTGTGAAGTATGTTAGGAACATAAATTTCCTGGAGTCTTTAAGATAAATTCAATCATGACCAGGAATGAGCTTGTAGTGCTTATGAAATTTAAATTTATTGACACAGACAAAACCAACCTTGTGAAAAATATTGTTAAATGCAAAGACGCGTTCCAAAATTGTTTGTGTTTGATTATGAGAAAACATGATCAATTGCTTGGTTGTTTAGTCACTGCGATCATTTCAATTAACCAGACCACCACTAGTGGTAACAGGCTACTAAACTGAATAGGATAGTCAAACAACAGAGAGACTGTCTGGGATATACAGCTTCTGTGTGGAGCATTCACTCTTACTGTTGTGTAATGAGGTGCACAAGATGAATCAGAAGTAAAACCTGATGGTTGTTGGGATGATACACCAATACATAAATGGAATACAAAGTTTTTATTCTCGATTCGGCACACACTTATGTAAGAAGCAAATAATGGGATTGAAAGGTCAGGCTCCCTTATTCCGCAGTGATGAGAGCATATTGTCCCAGCTCTTAAATGACAGTTGTACACAAAATGTCTGAGATTTGACATGCTCTAAAGAATATTTGTTGATCCATCATTCTGGACAATGTAGTTCATGGAAATGCATGTCTGAATTTATTTTCCACGTCATTATCATTCTGAATCTACTTTCACAGCACATTTAAAACAGAATTTACTCATCCTAGTCTTCTCAAACAAATGGTAAAATATATAAAGCCACTGTTTTGATACATTCAAAATGCATCCCATGTTTTGTGTAGAAGATAATGTGGTCTGTATGTCTGCAGGAAACTGAGTTACATATTCAAGTGTTCATTTAGTAAAATTAAATTTTATGTTCACTGAGATGTCTGTTTTGCTGACTGCTGGCCAAAACAACAAATATATCTGGTTTCATTGGGGCATTGTGGAAACCAACAAGAGAATCACCCTCATCCTCAAATCTCAAGGCTTCTGAGTAGCTTTCTCTGACACATTTTACAGAATTCTATGAACAAAATATTTATTTGGATATGGCTATGTATGATATTGCTTTGTTCCTCGACAGGTGTGGCATTTCCATCAAGTGGCAGCCAAGGCATTTATGGAGCTCAAACCGCTGGCAAATTTTAGGCTGACCCTCAGGTACAGATATCAGCCTCATCAATATTAATGACTTACAGATTCAGTTGTCGTCTCATTTACATAAGTTTATGCTGAGTTACTTCAACAAATTACATGACAGGAATAAAGGTAATACGGTTGTTTTTAGTTTCAGAAATAATATGAACAATATTTTGTGAAATGTTGGAAGATTGTGATTTTCATTAAGGCCAGACCAATTTTATTTCTTGTTTTACGGGTTTTTGTCCTCAGAAAACCTAGAGCCAGGAGGGGAAATAAAAATAAAAAGCACCAGTCAAAGTAATATTCCTTTTGCATACTAAAAGTAGTTTGTTTTTGGCAAGTTATGAATTGTATATGGGGCAAAAAAACAATAAGTTTACATTTTTTTTCAATAAAAACATGAGGATTTTATTTTTGGAGCAGGGAAAATTAATATATGTTTTTTTTCTTATTCTTGAAAAAATACGACCGGCGGATCCATAAAACAAGAAATAAAATTGGTCTGGCCTAAAGATGGGGGAAAGTTCAACAAATTTCAATGCTGTCATATTCTTAGAATAGATCAACCAGTGGGGATTCTGTATGAGAACCTAGATCCACAGCAAGCTATGCTTGTTGTTAGGCTCAACTAAATGGAGAGGGTGTTCAATCTGATGTCTTGGTTGATTGCATGTCATTGTGTCCCAGCTGTGTGTATCGATGCTCATAACGTCAGTCACTGAAATCCGGTCCAGACTTGATTATTTAAAGACTATTATATGGCTGGGATATTCCTGGGCGTGGCATTAAACAACAAACAACAGAGTCCAGAGTCTTTTACCGATTCCGGGAAAGAATATCAGAATTTGTGATATTAATTTCAAACCGACATTTTATATGATTTAATTCTCAAAGAAATTCTTGGAAGAAAACTATCTGTGTATTTCAATGCTGTTGACAAATATACTTCCAAGTTTTGACAAAATTACAAAATGACTGGAAATTATTACCTAATAATAGTACCAGTCCACTACAGAATATCACATATGAACATTAAGTTACATTGTGAAACAAAGTCAGAGATTTATAATGTGCAGATGTAATGTGAACAAAATCTCATGACTCTTTTGACTCATAAACAAAAACTAAAAACGACCCTCCAGTATATATGCAAGTGCATATTTGGCAGATATTAGTTTATGATGTACTTTGAATGAAACTTTGGTTTAAGTTGGATATAGTCCTCGAAGTCATGAATATTCTGTGGGGCTATTTCGAGGCATGACAGCCTGGCAGCTTTGAACAAGCCCCCACATGCAATCTAATCATGACTTTTGAGATCATGTCCTTCATTGAGATGTTTTCTTCTAAAACGTTGGCGTGTTGCAGGTACGAGCTGCCTAATGTTGGAGGGAGCTGGGTGAAGCGTGTGGACATTGACTACAACCTGGACCACCTGTACTGCTGCTCCGACACAGATCTACACGCGTATGACATGCAGGGGAAGCCACTCTTCAAGTTCTCCAAGTAAGTATACACTGTCGAAGGCGTAGTGGTAGCCTAGTGGTGAATGTGTTTGCTCATCCTCCTGTCGACTAAGGTTTGATTCCCCCATGGGTACCATTGTGAAGACCATTCTTGGTGCTCCTCCTGGGGGAAGATTTGCTAAGAGATCCTAAGTTTTATGCACTCATCCCTTCACTTACTCTCTCAATCTAGAAATGTTGGAAACAGCTTTGAAGCAATGTCCTGAGAATCCTTTAACCATCTTTGAAACTATACAGTGCTTTGTTATCTGTAGTGACGAGCAGTGTTGATGGTCACTACAGCGAGAACTTGATGCTGTTCAGACCAATGTACTGTAAACTAGAGCATATATACAGATGAATCTGTCTATTACGGACTGGCCCTGGACCGACTCATTTGTCCGGATTGTAAAGCAGTCCGGATTAGACAACTTTTGTCCGTTACCGTGTTCACTGTCACGGTGAGTTACCTCCCTTTGTTAAGGACAACCAACAACTTGATTCATTCTTTTTTGTGTTTTTATTTATACTCAATATATTATTCATATTTGAAAAAGTCTGTTAACATGAACTGCTTCTGCCTCTGTAAATTTCCACGTAATGCACTGTTTTCAGTCAGTAACCATTGTGAACAGAAGTAACAGAGATGTTTATTCAACAGACTGTTATTTTAGTCAGCTATGTCCGGATTACAAAGCGTTGTTCTCATAGCAGGTTGATTCTCAGGACTGTTATTTTACTCTGTTATCCATAATTGAGAGAGTCCGGATTATAAAGCATGCTTTAATGATAAATTAAGAACAATTTTGCCGTAACTCAGAGAGTAGTCCGGATTATGGAGAAAACCGGATTACACAGAGTCCGGATTTGACAGATTCCATTGTATACATGTAGTAATAGCAAAAGGACTAATAGTTTTAGTTCATTGTAACCATAGTTCATAATATGCATTTTGACTAAAACACACAGCAAGTGGACGAGGCCCCCCAGATAAAGTTTGTTTTGTCCATTATGTCATAAGCATGTTCTTAATGAATGTAGTTTACTGTCTTACATCAGTGTTGAAGCATTTCAAGAGAGAATCTCACCATGCTCACATTTGTGATCGAGCATAACATCTTTTGCAGTTATAACCATTGTGTGCACAAATTCATGTCATCTAAAGCTTAGACGAAAGGCATATGAGTAGAAATCATGGTAACAGTAATAATGGCAGTGATATTTTCTTACATTTACAAATATTGTTATGATGTTTTTCCTTGTATTCCAGAGCCCATGCCATGTCTATAACAGGCTGTCAGTATTCTGTAGCTTCTAAAGTCTTGGTAACTGCATCTGTGGATTCTGAGGGTAAGAATCAACATCATCATTAAGCAGCATGGTCAGTGACTGATGAAACTTGTGGTTTTTATGGTGATCCCTCCAGGAAAGAAACGGTCGGGCTCCACCAAGTAATATTTGAACAGGTCTACTTTCATTATTGCCATTTCAAGCACATAAACAATTTAGCCACTGGTTGCTGGAAAGGGCTGTGAAGTTGGTCTTTGGACTGTTTCATTTTTGGCAAAATTGGTCTCAGTACTGGTCTTATATTTTGTTGACCCATCTATTCTAATGTAATATGTAAACGTGACCCGCACCTCCACCCCTATGCCCTTCAAATACATGGAATGTTTTTCATGACACATTTTCATCCTGTAATGAATAACTAGTCAGTTCAGTAATTTTGTTGATCTGAAGAATAGAGCTGTGTCCTTATTCATGTCATATCATCCTCTGATATAATTAAGGTCCCCCCTCCACTTTGAGTTGCACCATCTAAGTATTGCCCTCTTCTGAAATACCGCAAATTATCACTTTCCATAGAAATTAAGGTGAAACAAATTCTAAATAATAAGGATGTCACGATACATAAGTTTCATGAACCGATACGTATCACGATACCCTATTTTCGCGTCATTATTTTTGTATAAATTTAGTTACATTTTGAACATATATATTTCATAGTTTATAATTGTCCATGAAAAGATCAACATTTTGTATTCTCAGAGATTTAAAAGTTCTAATTTCCCATCTTTGTGCATGAAAAATAATCATTTTATAACTCTCATAACATCAAAAAACTTGATACAATTGCAAAATGAAACGATACATAAACATATTTAAACTGATACTTTCAAAACTAAATATCGATACAGTTTTGAATGTATCGATAATTGTGTCATCTTAGAAAAAGTATCAATGTATCGATGTATCGATGTATCGTGGCATTCCTACTAAATAACCAACCTATTTTGATGGGATGAAATAGGAAACATTTTGTCCCTGCTATGCTTGTTGAATATGTCCTGACATCCCTCACACAGAGATGGTTTATGTCTAAATGTGAGTTTGTTCCTTCAAAATATGTTTCCACAACCTGCACATGTGTAGCAAGACTAAGAGCATGATTTAGTATATATGTTCTTGAACTGTTTAAGTTTACTGCAAAATCTTGAGGCACTTTTGCACAATACTGACATTTTTGTAATCTATTTTTGTTATCTTACTGAATGTTCTTTGCACAATAGTATTCAAGTCAAGTGTGTGTAATTTCCTGTCTTCAGCATTGGTTTACCAAAGAAAGTAAATTGGAAGATCTTAACCTTATAGCAGCTTAGCAGTTAAACAAAGTCGGAAACTTATAAAGTTCTACATTTCGATGTAATGCAATTCCTGGTTAATGTTAGGAAGGCTTCCTGCCATGTTTCTACCTGCTGGAACTGTATTTCAGTGAAGGTGTGGAGCTTGAGAGGTGGTCTGGTACACACTTTCCGTGGTCACTCTCGAGCGGTCACTCACCTCCTGATTCACCCCGACACTTCCACCATAGCCATCACGTCCTCCCTGGACGGCACAGTCAGAATGTGGTCACTCGACACAATGGACGCTCTCTATAGGTGGGCTGTCAACACTCGCTACACTGAAAATAAGGCGTTATGGCATATTAGTATTCATGTCAAAGTGTAACGTTTTGGTGCTTTGGGCATTTACAGTGAAACCTGTCTAAACCGGCACCTCACGGGACCGAAATAAAATGCCAGTTTAGACAGGGTGCCGGATTAGACAGTGACAATCATTTTCCAACATGGCTGCCATTTACGCTTGTCAATCTTACCGGCAATTATTTCTGATGGTCGAAGCTTTCGACCACACTTGCTCACCAATGATTGGTCCCTATTTACAGATGGGCCAATCAGTGAAGGGTTAAGAATCCATGAATGGTATTCTGTCTGCGTTGCAAATTTTAATTCCGTTTAGAATTATTCAAGAATCTTTTAATCACAAATATTCAGAAATGGAAAAACTTTAAGTTCGATTGGTTTGAATTGAAACAATACACAACATGATATTTTGACATAGCGTAGGTGTAAATATTAAGTGTTTTTTCATACACTGGCATTTATCTTTCTTGCGTATTTCAACGGTTTTGACAGTATGCCAGATTAGGCAGGTGCCGGTGTAGAGAGGATTAATTAGTGTATTGGATTATGGGTCCACGATTGGACCGATCATACCCATGCCGGTTTAGCCAGTGTTGAAATTGCTTGTTGGGACCGGAAAGTCGTGCTGGAATACGGAATAGACAGGTGCCGGATTAGACAATGTTTTAATGATCATAATATCGTTGTAAAATGGCGGGACCAAAATTTTATGCCGGTTTTGACAGTGTGCCGGATTAGGCAGGTGCTGGTGTTGGCAGGTTTCACTGTATGTTGTTCATTGATCTTGGGAACGATATGAATATAAATGTTTAAACTTTAACTTTAGAAATAATTATTTCTATTCTGACAAATACTTCTTTGTCATTGTCACTTATGTTGTTGTTACCTATGCATACCAGAGCACAATGTTTATGCATGCTCACCATTTCAAACCTAGGGGTGAAATGATATACCGTGGTATTAGTAGAACCGCAGTATTTTGCTTTCAGTTCGGTATGCTGTAATACAATCCAAAATTTGGTATTTCCAGTTTTCTACTATCATTTCTATCTAGTCATAAAATGACAGTTTTGTTCATTCAAAATAACAAAGATTATGGTTATTGTTTTTGATGTTATCAAACAATGTAAGATTTGGCTCTTATTTCTGCATTATGATCATATCTCATATACCGAACCGAAACAGACCGAACCGAAGGCCTTGTACCGCAATACATACCGTACCATGGTAAGAGCGTACCGTTTCACCCCTATTCAAAACACGTCACAAATGTTTCATGGACACCTGTCATCTTCAGCATGTTTCAGTTTCTTTGTTTAGACAATCACTCAGGGCAAGGAGTTAAAGGGATGTGTAATCTTATCTATCTTTGTATGTGTTGTTTCATGTACAACTATTATGTTGTTGTCCTAATTCCTGTCAAAATGACCTGGTGGAGTGTTGTTGTAGCTTGGTTGTGTCCTCTGATGGAGTTCTGTGGATGGGACTGACTGATGACAACCTCCTCTACATCAGCACAGCTCGCAACATCAGCATCTGGTCTCTCAACTACTTCTACCAGTTCTGGAGTCTGGCCAGAAACGAACTGTCCAATTTGAGTCTGGTGGGCTGCAAGGGGAAGACGACACGGATCGTGGCTCTGGGAGAGGATAGCAGGTGAGGTGTGGTCAGCGTGTCCTGGGAGTGAAATTGTTGAGGTGGGTGGGAAAGACTACACAGGTATTGACCCTTGGAGATAGATATTAGTGAGTGAGGGATTTTAGTTTACACCACTGTCAGCAATATTCCAGCTATATGGCGGCAGTCTGTATATAATCGAGCCTGGACCAGACAATCCAGTGAACGACAAAGCATGAGCATCGATCTATGCAATTGGGATATGATGACATGTGGGAAGTCTCCTGGGTTTGGACACTGTCGGAAGTGGTCCTTGGAGAGAATAGCAGGTAAGATTAGCCACTAAGTCCTGAGATTTTGTCTTGTGGGTTGGAAGTAACAACATGGACAGTGGCCCTTGGACAGAAAAGCAGCTAGGATGTAGTCACCATGTCTTAAACGTATGTCTGGTGGGTTTAGAGGGAAAGAAACATGGTCCATGGAGAGAATGGTAGTTGATATGCAGTCAGTAAGTCCTGAGAGTTAGTCTAGTGGTTTGGGAGGGAAAGACATTTTGAAGTGGTCCTGGACAAGGTTCTTGCTGTCACCTGCTGCTAGTATATCTTAGGGCTTTCACTAATGAGAATCTTGTCCAATGAGATGTCATTAAAGAACCACTAAACTTTGTTTTTTGTTACTCTTTTAACCATTACATATGAAAGATTTGTGGTTAGTCTTATGCGGAACACCGAATTTATTCTTTAAAAACTTGTGGTTAATTAATACCGTTTTGTTTTGGCGATGTAAAAGTGGCCAAAAATGTCGAGCAAATATCACTGGTGCTGCTTCCCTCTCATCTCCCAAGCAGAAGGTGCCACAGACAGAGTTCAGTGTAAGCTCTTCATGCTGATCAACCCTCAGGAGATATGGGTCTACACAACACGGTCAGTTTCTCTTGTTCTTTTCCTGGGGACAAGGGTGGCCCAGTCATCTAAGGCAACATAATTTCTACTGTGGAGAGTTGTGTCCCTTTAGCATACCAGGAATCTGTGATAGTGGATCAATATGTTTTGCCATGATCGTGTTTCTAGGCTTGTCACCACACTGTGGTTGTGGTTTTCACCCATAGTGAACTTCTCAGACCTGCATCACTTCAAGCTTCCTACCACATTAAAGTAACACACCTGTTAACATGACTTGTACTGCTTGTGGTGACAAAGATGTCTTTGTGCTTTTGCTCATATTATTTTTCAACTTGCACTCACATTTTGGTAATTACCACTGACAGGTTACCCACGCATGCCTTTGACGGGCATCAGAGCAAGATGAAAATGTTTAATGTTTGGTACCTAAATGGGGATTGGGTGATTAAAATGGCTGCTCAGTGCAGTTTGTGTTTAGGAAGAGGGCCTGCTGCAGAGACAACTCTCCTCATATGTATTAGAAATGGGTTGGTTCCGGCTTTCCGCTTTTGGTTTCATTGTTCCCAACTTTAGGTTTGTTTTATATGGATTTGTAAGGCATTATCAGAAGATCATCAAACTGGTCACTCTTTACATCTCCGTTCTCCTACAGAACTGACCCAGCTTTTGTCGCATCGCTGTGTGGAACATCCATGACATCCAGTATGTGTACATCGTGAACAAGTCCAGACAGGAACAGGAGACTAGCCAGGGTGTCAGGTAGGTCCAGCACATCATTAACAGGTCCAGGCAGGAACAGGAGACTGGCCAGGGTGTCAGGTAGGTCCAGCACATCGTGAACAGGCTGTCCAGACAGGAACAGGAGACTGGCCAGGGTGTCAGGTCCCCAGCACATCGTGCTTTTGGTCAGATTTAGGGTCGGGCGATGGTGTCCCCATGCACAGATTTCCACAGGACCCGCAGTTCGTGCTAAATGGGTTATGTTTGTGAGTGCTGGCGGCGTTGTGGAAGCCTGAAACGATATCTTACTTGTGTTCAGATCGCTTCCACGGAAGTTAAAGAATCAAAACTACTTACTAGTTGTAGTAAAATATGCATATGATTGATGACCATAAAGATTTTCTATGACACAACTTGTAACATAACGATTTCTTCCTCGGAAGTGAGGTTGTGGTCGAAATAACAATAATATTGTAAGTAGTATTATATTGACACCCACCTGCCGCTGCCACAAGAGAAATTGTTATGATATACGCCTATGTCATGCAAAATCCTATTGGCCATCAATAAAATACATATTTTACTACCAGTAGAAAAGTAGTTTTGATTTTATAACTCGTGAAAACAAACCTAAATACCATTTATCCTCAGACTGGCAGATGTTCCCGACAGAGGCGCTGCCATTTTAAAAATAAAAAATCTGTTAGAATTAATGAGATTATAGTTTGTTTTCATCAAGTTAGAAAATCAAGACTACTTTCTACTCGTTGTTAAATATGTATTGGAATCATAACCAAACGGATTTTGCATGACACAACTTATAACATAACGATTTCTTCCACGGAAGCCGTAGGTGGGGGTCAAGTCACAATACTGCGCCGATAAATTTCTTGCTACATTCCCATGGTTAATGTCCACTCACCAGTATGTAGATACTAGTCAATGTGCGTCTTTATATTTGGTCTTATAATCCTAATTAGTTTATTATCACACTTGTATGCATTTTGAAACTAAATAAAAAGCAGACGATCTGCTTGATACTTATAGTGAATTTATAACAGAACTGTAATATCTAGACATTTTATAGTTTGCCAATGTGAATCATAATTCGCGACACACCCTTAGTGCATGTTGTCTGTCTCATTACACTTCACGGCGAAAACAATGATTCTGTTGAATGCTACGACAAATGAATAAAAACAAAATGCAAATATTAAAATTAAAACAGATTAAAGTTATAGGAACAATATCAGGCCATTACCTTGTTCGAGGAATGTATCCATCAATATCCACAAACTGTTCCAAATGATGTGTCTTTTAACAGTTTAATATACCTAAAAAGTGATAAATCTTTTCAGGTATTGGTGTATAGTCTCATTGGTCACCCAAGATAGCACACCTGGCAACTAATTGCATAATGTCCGCCTTTCTTTAAAAACAGTAATTTAGTTAGCCAATAATGGGCAATCAATCAATGTATTGCCGGTTAATCCTTTGAAAGAAGGACGTTGTTTTACGCAGACACCGAATACGACAGAGTGTATTCAGTATAGATTAGTAAATCTACATACATAAACACTACCTTTTGACAATTCCGCTGTGTAAGATAAAAGTAATTAATCAATCAGCGTGTTATCGGTTAATCCTTTGATCGATGTTTATAATGTTGAATATTTACTCCAGACACAAGAAATGCCAAATGGGAACCTTTGTCGGGTAATCTAAGTGTGTTACCACTAATTATACCTGTTATAAATTCATTAACTGACCATCAAGTGAATGATGACAAATAACATGTGTAGGTTTATACCACCTAACACGGGTTACAACGAGGGAGTATTAATTGCTGTATTGCATGTGAAAACTTATGGGCCGACACTGTTTTGAGAATACAAACAGATTTTTACATGACATGATTAAATATCGAGGTAAAACAACACAGAAATGGGATCAATTTGGATCAGTCATTATACAAATAGGGCCTAACGACACCAATCGATTTTGACAGAATCGTCTATGAAAACAAGTTGTAACTAGGAAACTAGGCAAAGCAGGAGACAAAATTAAATGACAGTAGATTGTGAGGACATATAGCTTTCATTTTCCACAACAATTGTCACGATTTCAGGTTTATACAAGCCTGTAAACACGATAATTTACCCCCTAAAATGTAGATGAATTCTGCATCGGCTCTCAAAGCTATTCCTCATATGACGTCACAGAGGCGCGCCGCTCTGATTGGTTGAAATTTCGTTCGCGGGTGAGAATTGTGCACTGTTGTCAAAAAGGTCGATTTAAGTCAATTAAAGGTCGAAATGAGTAGTTTTAATGACGGGGGTTTCATTTATAACGATGCCAGTTAGTGATTTATGTATTTGTACCCCCTAGGGTTTATGTGACCTTTAAGTCCTTACAGCAGAGAAAGTGTAACAAACCACAGTAGAAGAACACACTAAGCTTCTCCATGTCTGGGTTTTAGATGGGTTAAATATTTTGGACATTGCCTGATATTGCCATCCAAGATGAACTTTTCAGATTTGGTAATATTATAAAAGAATGCCCTGCCCATAACTGACGTGTCTTTATGCCAGTTGTCTCCACAAAATCACTGGATATGGTGAATCTATCTGTTCCAGTTTGCGGCTGTTTGCCCGCAGCAATCAGAAGAACATGTCAACGGTGCTGCCCCCTCCCAGCATCTCCCCGCTGCAGAAGGTGCTCAGCGTGTGCTACAGTCGCGAGTTCAGCGTGGTCTTCATGCTGATCAACCCTCAGGAGATATGGGTCTACACAACACGGTCAGTTTCTCTAGTTCCTTTCCTGGGGTCAAGGGTGGCCCAGTCATCTAAGGCACCATAATTTACTGTGGAGAGTTGTGTCCCTTTAGCATACCAGGAATCTGTGATAGTGGATCAATATGTTTTGCCCCGATCGTGTTTCTAGGCTTGTCACCACACTGTGGTTGTGGTTTTCACCCATAGTGAACTTCTCAGACCTGCATCACTTCAAGCTTTCCTACCACATTAAAGTAACACACCTGTTAACATGACTTGTACTTGCTGGAATAATGCTTGTGGTGGCAAAGATGTCTTTTTGTGCTTTTGCTCATATTATTTTTCAACTTGCACACACACTTGGTAATTACCATTGTCAGTTACCCACGATGCCTTTTGACGGGCATTAGAGCAAGATGAAATGTTTAATGTTTGGTACCTAAATGGGGATTGGGTGATTAAAATGGCTGCTCAGTGCAGTTTGTGTTTAGGAAGAGGGCCTGCTGCAGAGACAACTCTCCTCATATGTATTAGAAATGGGTTGGTTCCGGCTTTCCGCTTTTGGTTTCATTGTTCCCAACTTTAGGTTTGTTTATATGGATTTGTAAGGTATTGGTCAGAAGATCATCAAACTGGCCTCTACTGTGTGGAACTTACTGACATCTGTCATGTACATCTCCAAGCTAAGACAGAACTGACCCAGCTTGTCGTCGTACGCTGTGTGGAACATCCATGACATCCAGTATGTGTACATCGTGAACAAACAGTCCAGAGGGTGTCAGGTAGGTCCAGGAACAGGAGACAGGAGACTAGGGTGTCAGGTAGGTCCAGCACATCGGGGTCCAGGCAGGAACAGGAGACTGGCCAGGGTGTCCAGGTAGGTCCAGCACATCATTAACAGGTCCAGGCAGGAACAGAGACAGGGTGTCAGGTACTGGCCAGGGTGTCAGGTAGGTCCAGCACATCATTAACAGGTCCAGGCAGGAACAGGAGACTGGTCAGGTAGGTCCAGCACATCATTAACAGGTCCAGGCAGGAACAGGAGACTGGCCAGGGTGTCAGGTAGGTCCAGCACATGTTGAACAGGTCAAGGGATGAACTGGACAGCATGAAGCCATGTTTTAAGTGTAACAGTTTCATTCATGTCATTAATAGCAGTACACAGATGATTAAATATTCCTGTTAGTCCATGTCAGTAATATCACTGACTGAATGTTGAATGATATGTCATTAAAGATATGTGTGACAACTTCAGACCCAGTAGCAGCTCATCGATCCTCCATGGAGGCCAGACAAGTCATCGAGCCACGGAGAGCGGTGTGGGGAACGAGGGGATCGCCAATTGCCGCTGTCTGTGTGACCTCAACGCCTCGGCCATGATGTGGACAGACGAGGGCTTCTGTTGTCCAGTTAGACACTCGTACCTCCTGCTGGGGATGGAGGTACAATATATTGTTGTATATGGTTTAGTGAGTGAGTGAGTTGGGTTTGATGCCTTTTGAAGAGTATATCCATTTTATCCGGGCGTCTCAGGTCGATGTGGGGAGAAAACCTGAAGTGACACTGGTGTTAGATGTTTCCACTAATGATCACAGGTTTCGGTTGTATCTGTTACTAAACAGTCAAACCAGAGTACAGATGGTTACTGAAAACAAACAGAATTTCGAAATAATTTGGAGCATTCATATCTGTGGTGAGTATTTGAAACAGCTTTGGGTGAAACTATCACAAACCACAGATGTGATGTGATGTGATGCAGTGTGACTTGCTGTTTGTGGCACATTCTAAGATGTTTCGGTAAAAGATCCAAGGTGCTGACAGTACTTTATCAGACGATAATGTGCACTTTTTGCATTACGTCGACGTGTATTGGCGTCACTGCGCCATTCTAGTCTGCCCCATCATAATCGAACAATTTTGCATTACGTCACAATGTAAGCGACATCACAATGCATGTCAGTTGTCATCGCCTCGTACAGACTCCTACAACTACTCCATTGCATCGATTTATTGGTTTGCAGTTGCTTCACGCAGATAACATCACTGGTGGATTCATTACGTTTATGTTTTCCTACGATTAAAATGTCTCAATTCGACTCACGGGTTTTCAGTTACACGGTAACATTCGCAATGTTAACATTCCCACAATGCAATCGTGAAAAGTCGTTTGACTACTCAGCTTCATCTGGATGTACTGATCTAAACTTACATTGGTAGTAGAAATGCGACGTTCATATTGCCCCAATTGGTTTACGTTAATCACAGATGTAATTAAAATAATTTAGAGAAAATATTTAATCCGAACGTAAACCATCATCAAACTGTTTATCATTTGTTTTTTCTGGTAACGTTCGTCTTAACGTAGGGGGGCAAACACATTAATAGAACAGCTCACCAGTTAGTCCTGTGCGAAGATTCTTAATTTAGGTCACCGACACCGTCGTTTGTTTTCTGCCTTAAATTAATCGTAATTATTCTTGGAAAGTATTAAATTTGGCATCTTAGAAAAGAAATACAGTTCGCTCTACCACCATGTATAGTGTAATAAAGCACACTTTCGCCCTGAACTATTATAACGTTAAAGCACTCAGAAGCGAGTGTCCTCGTGCTTTAACTATAACAGTTCAGGGCGAAAATAAAGGGCCACTTTTAATGCCAGTGCGCATAACAGGAAATCTCTTTTTGGATGATAACATAGGTTGTTGATTAGTTTATGGGTCCAGGACAAATGAAGCTGAACTATCTTTGCATTCATGATAGTGTTCAGGAAATTATTCGGGAATGACTTATTAAACAATAAATTGAAATGACATAATTGCTGTGATGTTTTATGTTTTGGATCATCAAAAGATATGGGCACACATATTTTCACAAAGGCACACCAGAATACTTGTCTAGTGCCCACTGTCACCTTTAAAAAATGCATTTTTACCCCTGAATGTGATGTGATGCAGCGTGATGTGATGAAATGTCATGTTATGTCATGATGTGTTTTGTGATGTCATGTGATGCAGTGTGATGAAATCTGATACTCTATGCCCAGGATGGCCGGATACTGTTCATGGATCCCGTGGTGAAAGGACAGAAGTACATGGAGTTCAAAGCTTCAAAAGATCCAGTATGTACACAAGACACATGTATTGTAACCTCTCACTACACCAGTTAGCATCAGTCAAGTTTGGTTAAATAGTTTCACTTCATGATGTGCCAGGCTAATGAATCATGACTTATGTGTCCAGCCTCTATTAACTCCTCCACATATTCAGTGAATCGGACCATATCCCGTCGTGAATTCATGAATTCAATTTGCTGTTCATCGGCACAAGAATTGAATATTCAAAAGAAGTACATTAATGGAGAGTGTTTTATACTTGAACTCATCTGTTATTTATCAAAGTGAGATATGCAAAATGGAATATGTACAAGCCTTGCAGTACGGGTACTTTGTATCAATTTGCCAAGGGCATTTTCGGAACAGTGAACCAAAACATTAGGGCTATAAGGCGCATTGTCATGATGTTACATTCATTATGCTATATTGTGTATTGTGTTGTTATTGAATATGAATAATTCATCCACTGCTGACTGGTTATTGTATTTGCCAATAAATATTTACCTTAATTACCCTATATTTGAATAATTCATCCACTGCTGACTGGTTATTAGAAAAAATTTGCCAAATAATATTCACCTTAATTACCCTATATTTAGTGATATATTGTATTCACATCCAGCTCCGGAGAGAAATGGGCCAGTAAATCTCCACAGTCACTGGCCTGACTGGCTAGTGAATTTTCATGGGGTCATTTTGTTTTATATATCCCTATCTCCTCGAAGCGCTGTTTAAGGTATAACACAACACACTTTTAAATAATGCACGATTATGGCCTGATAAAAATGTTCATCATATTAGCAAATTAATGATGAAACCTGTGTCTACATTAAAATTTTGGACTAGTGAATTATTTTGTGGGCTTAGTAACTTTTAGGAGGCCGCATAGCTAGCCCGACTGTTTACATAATTGCTCAAAATTTGGTAAACTGTTCCACACACTGTTCACATCATATTGTATTTGGTTCCATACTATTCACCCAGCAGGTGAAATGGAACTCTAAAATGGATGAAACTCAACTTGGGTTGTTTAGGTTGTGCATTTAGTAGAGACGTATGAGCATTATCGGATACTGGATCAAGTTGATATTAGACTTTTGCATCACATTCTTTGCTTAGAGATGCAGATACAGATCTGGAGCCTCCCGACCTGGCTTCCTGATGCATGAGGTCTATACTCTATGCCCAGGATGGCCGGATACTGTTCATGGATCCAGTGGTGAAAGGACAGAAGTACATGGAGTTCAAAGCTTCAAAAGATCCAGTATGTACACAAGACACATGTATTGTAACCTCTCACTACACCAGTTAGCATCAGTCAAGTTTGGTTAAATAGTTTCACTTCATGATGTGCCAGGCTAATGAATCATGACTTATGTGTCCAGCCTCTATTAACTTATCCACATATTCAGTGAATCGGACCATATCCCGTCAGTGAATTCATGAATTCAATTTGCTGTTCATCGGCACAAGAATTGAATATTCAAAAGAAGTACATTAATGGAGAGTGTTTTATACTTGAACTCATCTGTTATTTATCAAAGTGAGATATGCAAAATGGAATATGTACAAGCCTTGCAGTACGGGTACTTTGTATCAATTTGCCAAGGGCATTTTCGGAACAGTGAACCAAAACATTAGGGCTATAAGGCGCATTGTCATGATGTTACATTCATTATGCTATATTGTGTATTGTGTTGTTATTGAATATGAATAATTCATCCACTGCTGACTGGTTATTGTATTTGCCAATAAATATTCACCTTAATTACCCTATATTCGTGATACATATTGTATTCACATCCAGCGTGTGAAATAGCCACTGGCCCACTAGCCCGTGGCTAGTAAAAATTGGGCCAGTAAATCTCCACAGTCACTGGCCTGACTGGCTAGTGAATTTTCATGGGGTCATTTTGTTTATATATCCCTATCTCCGACTTGTTAAGGTATAACACACTCATGCATGATTATGGCCCGATAAAAATGTTCATCATATTAGCAAATTAGTGATGAAACCTGTGTCTACATTAAAATTTTGGACTAGTGAATTATTTTGTGGGATAGTAACTTTCAGGCATAGCTAGCCCGACTGGCTAGCAAAATTTGGAAACTGTTTCACACACTGTTCACATCATATTGTATTTCTGTTCCATACTATTCACCCAGCAGTAAATGGGTTGTTTGAGTACTTTTAGAAGTAGGAATATGGATCAAGACATGGTGATATTGACATTCTTGTACCGTTGACACTCTTGCTTGACAACGGTACAAGAATCTGTATCGAAACGTCGCATTAAAGATTGTATCCAAGTTCCATATTGTAACACAACTTGGGTTGTATAAGTATTCCTAAGGGAGCTGAGCATGTCATTTAAGTGAAAACGTAAAACTTTAAAATTGTGTAATAATTATGTGTCACCAGGAACAAGCTTAATGATATGATACAGCACAATGTGAATATGAATTTGTTATAACCCTGTCACTGAATATTGTGATGTCACCAGATTGAGGACATGAAACACGACCCCTCCCACGACTCCCTGATAACGCTGTGCTCCCTGAAGGAGCTGATGCAGATACAGATCTGGAGCCTCCCCGACCTGGCTCTGATGCATGAGGTCTACTGCTCTCCGGACCTCGCACACTACGCAAGAATTGTGAGACCCCATACGTTACTGCTCATCTCAACAGCCCTGTTTTAAGATGATGAACCGTGTTTTTGACACCAGCAATACAGATTTTAGAGCAGGCAATCTTGATTACCAAACCACTTGTGAAGATAGTCATAGGTTGATTACTGTTATTTTGCCGCAGTGATATTTTTACACTTAAATAATCTTCCCTTTTCGAACTGGTGCACAGATCAACATTACAGGGTAACAGTAAGGGCAGATAACTCTGTATTTGTAATCACTGTTCATGCAAGCTATTCTCACTGTGAGCATTATGTATATAAGCAAATTGCACTGTATAGTAGCAGGCAAAGTACATATATTACTCAACAGAAGTGAGACAACTCTTGAATTTTTTTCATAAATATGACTGCAGTTAATCTATCATGGCCAGTGAGTATTTCAATATTTTGCCTTCCAGTTTCAGGTGTTATTTAACATGTTTTGAACAGTATAATATACAGAACATTTAGATTTCTGTCAAATGACCAGAAATTTTGTATGAAACTATTTTTTCTGGACTGTGGGCATTCTGTTACGTGTCCTTGTCTCTCTGTCTTCAGAATATGACGTTCTTGACTGGCCACAAAAGTGGTTGTGTTAACGACTATAACTTGACACCAGCCGAGGATCTGGGGATGTACAAAGCTAAAGGTGATTGTGTGGTTACATTATCAAGTCAAGGGGACGATGAGGTAGCCTAGAGGTTAAAACGCCAAACCAAAGACATGGGTTCAATTCACATGTGTTAGAAGATGTAAAACATTCACTCACTCTTGTCAATTATAGTTTTAAAAAAACACATTTACACTAAAACGTCAGTCACACACAGTTCTTCCCAGAAAAATTGAAGCCATAGTGGCTGAGTGGGTTAGATGGCTGACTTTGTGTGCTGGCCGTTATGTGCCTGACTTTGTGTGCTGGCCGTTATGTGCCTGACTTTGTGTGCTGGCGTTATGTGCCTGACTTTGTGTGCTGGCGTTATGTGCCTGACTTTGAAAAGTACTAGAATTGAGTACTTTATTCTGCAAGTGTTACTTTAAAGTGTCATCACAAATACAACATATGTTTTATTTGACCAGTTTCTAAAAGGGATTGTGTGTTCATTGTCATAGACGGTTTTACATTTTCCAGCCGTTTTACAAGGTGGATGTTTTGTCTGAATATTATTTGACTGTGTGACCTTGTTTCCTCAGCTGTCCCTGAATTTGCGGAGGTTGTAGACATCTACAAGCGTCCCGAACACAATGAAGCCATCATAGCTCTAGATGCTTGCCAGACCATGAAGATATTCTGTTCATGCAGGTACAAACATAGTCAAACTTTGAGCCTCGGATAAAATTTTACCTTTACATTATTTTTAAAATGTGTATTTCTCTCACTAACAGTGTATTTGTTTGCTGTTATATTTCTTATTCCACAAATAGTACATCTATATGAAAGCCTGGAAATATTTGATTCTGACAAACTATTGATTGATATTATGAGCAATACCCATGCCTTCTGGATTCTATGACCGCCTCCGATGATGTGGTGTAGTGGTTAGAGCTGCGTCTGCCTGGAAGCGGAAGGTTGTGGTTCGATCCCCGACCGCGTCCTACCAAATGACTTTAAAATATGGTCCCTGTCCGGCGCTTGGCATTAATGGGTACAACAAGGACTGGTCGGCTCGGAGTCAGTATAATGTGTCTGAGTGGGGTATTCATGCTTCACTGCGGCATGATATCTCAGTGAGCTAGCACTATAAAACCAGCTTAAGTCTGGGCTAGTACAAGCAGCCACACATACACATGCATGCATGTTGTCATATGAGCGAAATATTCGCAAGTACGACGTTAAACCCCACCTTCTGGGTTCTATGTAAAAAAGTCAACATATTCAAGGACCTCGAACTCCTGATCCATTTAGTTACTGTGTGTGACCAGCATATGTTTATGGGGACCTTTTCGCCCCGAATCCTCAAGTGTTACCTTTTATATATCAAACAGTAATTGGCTCTACATCAGCTTTGTGATGCAGGTTTTTTTTACTTCTATTTGCTTGTTTCCAGTGATGAAGGTGCTGTCAAGATCTGGGATGAGTTCCGGGTTCTGCTGACGGAGATTACGTTGGACAGTTCACTCAGTGCGGCCTGTTTCCTCAACGACTGCGGGGACATGGTCGTGGGCTTCAAGAAACACATGTTTTACATCGACCATACCAAAGGTTGGTGGCAATCACTGGATAGAGGCAATGAGATGAAATGTTGCATGCAGGATTACTGCACTTTAGTAGCAATGTGCATGCATGTGTCTGTGTCTGTGTCTGTTGAGCTTGTCAGGACTAATGCCTGTTTTATATTGCAAACCCACTCAGATATAATATACTGACTCTGTACCCTTCTTTTATCCCCTTAATGCCTATTGCCAGGCAGGGAAACAACAAGTACCATCTTTAAACATGTTTAGGGTTGACATGGCCTGGGATCTAGGCACCAACCTTGTTCTCTCAAGCAGAGTCAAGAGTCCATAATGTTCCGCTAACAAGACCATGGAATATTGTGGACCTGAACTGAGTTTGGTTTTACCAAACTTTTTAGCAATATTCCAGCAACATCAGACAAGAAATGGGCTTCATTGTGTTCATGTGGGGTTCGAACTCAGGTCTTGGAAGAACAACCATTAGGCTACCCACACCCGAATATATGTGGAAGAACAAATAAAACATTTTAACAAATTTATTTGACAATGTATTTCTGTTTCAGTTTGCCCATCTCTGACCCCTCCCGAAACAGAACCAGACACGTTTGATCAAGGTGGGTGACCTTTCTCAGAACAGTATTTACAAGATACATATATGTTAGCTTCATGTAAATTAGTAAAGGGCTGACAAGGCACAAACAAAGCAGAAACGATTATAACGTAGTTCAATAACTGTTGATCATAACAGTGGACTGACTGACTCATGCTAGGTGACAAAGAACTGATTCAAAAGGACCTACCGGTACTTATCTAATGTGTCCAACAAGGGTGTCTTGAGCTTGTTTTACCACACTTCTAATTTCACACAAAACATACTGCAACACAAATTGAAATACATTTTATGTGAATATGTCAAAAACAGGTAGGATAATATAAAATTAGATTGAATACCTAAACCCTGTACCACAAAGCGATTTTAGCGCTAAGATGTTCATAACTGACATAGGGATAGGATAGTTGTGGTATGTAGTATGTCTGGAAAAGGAATTCTTTTCAATCATTATCAGTAGACATTTGGAAATAATTACATGTACAGTTGCTGAAAATTCATCATGTGAAACCTCACACTTTGAATAAGGTTTCAGTTTTGGTTAGGTCTTTTAAATCTATAGGTAACCGGGATCTATATTGAATATTGATCAACTGTCTTTCGTTAGTAGAAGTTAATGGCTGGATGCTGTGGCAGCCCTGTGTACATAGCTGGAGAATATATGCAGTACATGTGGTCAAGGGGAGACAATTCTTACAGGGCTTACGCCTTCTTGAATGGTTGTTAGATGTACTGTGTCACAGTGTTCACATGCGTGTAGAGAAGAATATTCTGACATTATTCCTGCCTGGCTGTTCATTGCAGAGTCGTTTGTGTATGAAGATCCTGCCGTTATGTACGAGGGAGCTATGGGTAATCCTGACCCCATCACTCTCGCTAACTATCTGGTGAGTAACACAATATCAGATTGGTTGGTTGGTTGTTTAACACTACACGCAGCGATCTTCCAGCTATATGGTGGCGGTCTGTAAATAATCAAATTTGGACCAGACAATCCAGTGATCAACATCATGAGCATCGATCTACACAATTGGAATATGATGACATTTGTCAACTAAGTCAGCAAGTCTGACCACCCAACCCCGTTAGTTGCCTCTTACGACAAGCATGGGTTACTGGAGATCAATTGTAACCCGGATCTTCACTGGTAACACAAAAATAGAAAGACATTTTTAACCTCAATGATTTTTGTCTTCCATTAACCTGTCTCACATTGAATATCAATAGAGTTTCTTGGAAAAAAATGTATATTTAGTTGGTTTCCTTCAGTATCTTTTGAAATATTGATAAGAGCAGGCTAACACTTATTTTAAAATTATAAAACAGTGTACTACAGCAAGACAACTTTATCGCGTGTAATTATTGGATTGTGCTGGTTGCTTCAGGTGCCGTATGAGCTGGAGTTCTCTAAAGACTTCCTGGAAGGAAAGCTGCAACTTGACCCCATGAAGGCCAAGAAAGAAGAGGTAGGTTTGTTGGCGATATAATTATGTGCTGTATTATTTTGTAACTAAATACCCCAGTGGTGATCAAGGGAAGTGTAGATCCACATTGCCTAGGTCATCTTCCTCTAGAACCTTATACAGCAGATTCCAGCACCCTTTGCTGGTCGTAACAGGTGACGTAATGCATCGGCTGCTGAGAGTTTTGACTGACTGCTTGTCATTGCATCCTGTGGCATGGATTGTTGCACTCATTTCATTTACAGGATTGTCTGGTCGATTGGGAAGGATGACAACATATGAATAAACACTTCTATATTACGGTTAGAGCGATGTTTCTATGTAGGTTTTAAAGCCGTTATTAAGCAAGTGACAATTTTTGATTGCTATGGTTCATAGTAGATGCTCTCACTGTAATAAGGAAGTTGTTCGTCCATATATTGTCATCCTTCCTAACTGATCCAACTTCTAAATGCCTCTGAAAGAAGTTAAGTTGTCTGGTTGAGACTTGATTATTTACTTGTTGCTGTAATATAGATAAAATGTTTGTAAATATGGTGAGAACAGAAACAATTTGTTATGGATAGACAAGTTCTTTATTGAATACGTGCAATGTTTCGGTGTAGATGCTACCACCATTATCAAGCAAGTTATGTAAGTAGATGATAACGATGTTAGCATCTTCACCAAAATGTCGCATCCGTTGCAATAAAGCAGTTCCACATAAGAATTGTTCCTGTTCGTTATACCAGCTTCTAAATACCACTCAAAGAGTCTGTAAATAATCAAGTTTGGACCAGTCAGTGAGCCTAAGTTAGTCACCTCTTACGACAAACATGGGTTACTAAAGATCAATTCTAACCCGGATCTTCATGAAGTTATATGGTGAGAAACAACAAGCAAGCTGTCTTCTCTACAGTCATCGTTGTCTTCTACCTGCTGTTACCTGGTTGTGTTCATACTGAGCTAGTTAGCATTTTTGTAGTTAAATCAGATCTATGGGTGTCATACTTTTAATGTTCAAATTCAGTGAATTAGTTCTAATTCTGTAACAATATATTCCCAGGGCCCATTCACTGACACACCTCCATTTATGTTGTTTTTTAATAGCATGACAAGGAAAATAGCCATTAAATGAAATAACACCCAGACAGAAGCAATCTTTCTGTTCAGACTATAAGTCTGAAGTCTATATGTTAAAGATTGGGTGTAAAAGCACATTGTACAAGAGGTAATAAATGTTCCAGGAATCAGAAGAAGAGTCTGAATTCTCCATGGCACCTACTGAGATCTATTTCTCCCCACCGGACACCCCCAAACCCCTCTCAACCCTTGACCTAACACTGGGGTCAGATGTCAGCAAATATGACCTCGTCAAGCACATGGAGAAGACGATCCAAATACTCATAGAACGAGGTGACGTATCTTTCATGAATGTTGAGTTGTTGTCATCATCTTAATGCTGTTTCATGTTTGATAATAAATAATCCTAAATAAACAGTATTGACTGACCTTTCAAAGTTTGCAATAGGTGGGGGGATGGGCTAGGATTTTTTACAGCAGTATATTTTTGTGTTCTTCCAGATCTACCATTTTTTTCTCTGAAGTGTAAATACTTTCACACCTTGCCTGAAGCACATAATTTTTTCAGAATATCTTCGAGCAGTGAAATCTGACGAAGAATGACATTTTTCAAAAGAATCACTGACTTGCACCAGATTGTCAAATAGTTGGCCCTAGTAGTCAGATCAGGTGTCCTGTTCTTGCATGATTTAAGAAACACTCTTATACTATACTTTTCATAACATAAGTAATCTGTTTAGGAAGAGTTCAGTTCCAAGGACACATGTTCCCAATTATATGATAGGATGAGAATGGTGTAGAATAAGAACCCTTCGGGGCTCAGGAGGCAGCTGAACCTCAACAAATCATTAACAAGATGTCTGCAGATGAAGAAGAATAAGATGCTGATGGTTTCGATGATAGCATGTTTGAGATGTCTAGTAACATGAAATGTATGGGTAGGGCTAACATCCAAATGATTATGATAGAGGATTTCATATCTTAATCTCTGTATTCAGGAAGTAATTTTCTAATATTTAGACATGAGCTGTCTTTTGCAAAAGCTGCTTATTTAGCACATGTACATGAAAGCAGTATAAGCATACAGTTAAACGTTCATGTTGGGTCACAACCTTTTATTTTGTCTTTAAGTTTGAAAACTAAAAGAAACCTCAGACATTTTAGCCATGGTTTTGTATTTGATTATGTTGCAGATTCAAAACTCACAAATGTAAACAAAACTTACAACTGTCTGGCGTGTGAACTTATCTACAAATTTTCATATCAATGTTTAAAGTTTCTTGCAACTCGACATACCAGAGGGCCTTCATAACTACTTTATGTATTTGTAAGACATGTTATTGACATTATCATTATTATCTAAATTAAAACAGTTAATAGTTACCTTTGCATATGGTGCGAAAATCGGTCCCAAGTCTTGGTATTTGAAATGAACTCCCCACAATAATAGCATTGTAGATAATGATAAAGCTAAATGACAAAACTGGTACTCAGATAGCCATATTTAAATATGCTGTACGGTTGAGAGCAACATCGAGCATGACTATTTCAGCAACTGCCCCTGTGTATAGACGAGAGAGGACTCCGCAAGAGAGACCACCCAGCTCTGTCAGAGACTCCGCTGGTACACACATAGTTATTTCATGTAGTCGTAGTCTCATCGTAATTCCCTAAATTTTGATAACCTATAGAATTGCATAACTGCCAGTAGTGACATTCACCACAGTTGCCCAAGTGCCACAGTTTACTGTGCAGAATTGCATCCATGAGATGCTCCAGAAATCTAAGAATCCTTGGTTTTAACCAGAGACCATGAACCTGATTGTGTTTGTTGGGTTTCCAGCACCATACATGATAGTTTAGTTTCTACATACTTCAGGCCAGCTTGGCTGATTCTAGCAGTAACTTTGGAACAGTCCACACGAGTTTATAGAGAGTTCTTAGTTTGTATTTAAACATATGATTTCAGGATTTAATGCCAGTATATATACTTTTGAAGACTATTCACAAAGCAGGAAAGTTACAGGTTCATCAGCACTTGAACTTACATTGTGCACTATTGCTCAATCTCTGAAAAACATATTTAATGTCTGGTGTATATTTTAGTGAGCCGTTCACCCATATCAGTCTTCTAGTGCCCAGGTTATGATAGCGAACACTGTATTCATTCATTAGCTGGAGTAAAATACCTTGAATGGTCTGGAACTAATGTGGCAAAAGGTGTGTGGTAGGTAGCCCAGCAGTTAAAGTATTTGCTCATCACCCAGAGTCTGGGTTTGATTCCTCACATCACTACAATGAGTGAAGCTCGTTATTTGAGTCTTCTTCCAGGAATATCGCTGAAAGTAGCATAAAACAAAACTCACTCATACATAATTTCTGCTGGCACCTTCAGTGCATACCCTATACATATTATCTTTGTCTTAGCCTATTTTTTAGCTTCTTTAGTGCAGTCAGATATTTCTTTATGTTTATTTCTAAGAGGTAGGGGATATTACATACCGGTATGTTACAGTGTCATCTTGTACGTTATTATTGTTAACTTTCCTCTCAGTTTAGATGGCTTAACACAGTTTAAGAAGCAGATTTCTGTTGTAGACATTGTACAGTAGACTTTTTCCTTTTAACATTTCTCTTTCAGTGAATTTATTCTTATCATAGAGATATAGTTATTTTTTGTTGTTGCTATGGTAGGACTTATAGATATTTTTAACACAGTTTTACACATTTTAGACATTGTATACTACCCATCAAAAGTTTAGACTCACTAGTGTAAATGTAGCCACTTACTTGTCCACTGTTCTAAACTAGCTTTTTGCAAAATATTCCATACTGTTTAAAGGTACTGTTTAGTTATGAACTGGTGTATTGTAAAACATATTCGTAACATTGAAAAGATTATTGTCATGAGTTCAGTAAATGATTAAAATCTGTGAAAATTGGCGAATTCTTAACAAAACTTTACACCAAAACGCATCTGTTCACATGCACGACATTTGCTCTTGCCTTTCGCAATTTGAAGCATCATCCTTGTGCAATTCATCTGCATAAGGTTTTCAGTTGGTTCCCCCAAGTTGGTGGAGAAATTCATCTTCGATGTAACCACATACATATACATAACATATAGTGAGTGCTTTAAGTGAGTCTAAACTTTTGATGGGTAGTATATATAAAAATATATAGTAACAATTCTCATAACAGATGAAGAGAAATGGGATAGCAAATTCTTTTTAAACAAGTTGGATGTTGATGGCATGGTTGTAAATTTTCTTGAGGAATTGACAATAGACAGGGAACTACAGGGATAGAGTAATATTTTTAAAGTGTATTACAAGACACAGCTATCTAGGTTAAACTTGAATGTGGCAGATTGCCCTGTTTTGGGTTTTTTAATTGACCTTGAAAATTGTCATCGTCCAGCTGACATAAACACAAGAGACAACTATTGCATCATTTTCTTAAGGTATATTTACCAAAATTTCAAAATTTTGTTATTTTTCATTTTTCATTTTTTTAAAATTATTCTACTAAAGTTCTGAAGGACCTTGAAGTTTTGTTATAATGCTGGCCCTTTTGAAAATTCACTGGCCTCGGGCCTCCAGACTGGTGGAAATTTCAAACACTGTGTCTATGCTTAACTGTGCCATGGTATGTCAATGGCTAGCACTATTAAGCCTGCATTTGTCTGGTCTAGCAAGGACCGCCTCCGTGGTGTAGTGGTTACAGCGTCCGCCCGGAAAGCAGAAAGTCACGGGTTCAATCCCCGTCGGCATCATACCAAAAGACGCTAAAATGTGGTACTTGTTGGTCCCTACCTGGCGCTGGTCGGCTCGGAGTCAGTATACTGTCTCTGAGTGGGGTATTCATGCTTCACTGCGGCATGGTATCTCAGTGAGCTATCGCTATAAAACCAGCTTAAGTCTGGGCTAGTACAAGCAGCTGCACATACACATACACATGCATGCACGTCGTCATATGAGCGAAATATTCTCAAGTACGACAATAAACCCCATGTCACCTCACCTGGTCTAGCAAAGAGCAGCACTGACAATGAAATAATTATTGTATTAAGATCACTCAAGGTAACAGTATCACATTACCGATATATGCACTGCATTTCTGAGCTGAGGAAGAATAGTTCTGTTTATTATTTGTGTCTATTCTAATCTGTTTACAGTTTTTGGTTCATTCAGCACCTAATTTCAGGCAAAAAGAAGAAACATCGGAGAAGAAAAAGAACCATCGTTGTCAGTGATGAAGAGACCGGACAAGGAGGTGGAGAAAAGGGAGATAACTCCTATTGAGTTCCCTGTATTTGGCAGCTCCCCTGGCCCCACCCCCTCCCCCTCCACACCCTCCACACCCCTGTCTGCAAGTGGTGCTGAAGACTCAGAGGTGAGACTGCCATGTTGAAACTTATTTTAAAACAGATGCTATTCAGAAATTGCTAAGGATCACCATTATAAAAGGTAACATATTAAATTGTGTGTGTCTGTTTTAAATAGCAAAAGACCATGTTGTGTGAAAAAATATTTTAAGTCTGTTATTTGCCAACATACAACATGTGACCAATGAATGAATATCCAGTCAAAACTGAAAAGTAAAAGAATCACAAAAACAAAATTCTTTGTCCATTATCAGGTCCAACTCTCAGAAGCACTTATGTGATCCATTGATATGACTGCTTGGGTTGAAGCCTGGTGTTTGGCTGGCCATTACATGCAGACAGTGGTCATGTTTTAAGTAGCCATCAACAGCCCTGACAAGATTATGCGTTAATGTCCATTAGGATGAAGTCCAATTTTACCAGAAAGTTTTCACTGTATTGCCCAGCTGCCATTGTGCGTTGCCATAGGTCACAGAGATCTGTTCTTCCAGATGTACTGGTCCCACCAAAAGTCATGACTGAGAACCCTACATTAGAATAATAATGGCTTTCTCCTTGTTTTTGCCACACTCGGTCATGACACTCTGTGAATATTAATTCATCAGTGAAAGTACTGGAGACTCGTTATTGGTCTGCCCAACTGATGTGACCTTCAGTCTGATCCAAAAGTGTCTGCTCCTCTGTGACCAGAGAGGTGGTCAAGTTCGCTGACTTGGTTGACATATGTCATCGGTTCCCAATCGTTGCTCATGCTGTTGATCACTGGATTGTCTGGTCCAGACTCCATTATTTACAGACCGGCGCCATATAGCTGGAATATTGCTGAGTGCGGCGTAAACCTAAACTCACTCACTCTCTGTGACCAGAGACCAGCCTCATGGAAATGATTATTCACTGAGCTGAAACGTTGACCTCACTGGCATTCTTCAGGTCATTTCTGAGTGACCTCTATCAGTAAGATGCCCTCTGTTTACTAAGTACTAATATCATGCCCTCTGTTTCTTTAGGGTGAAGGCCAAGTCCGAGCCACGTCCAGACCAGATGTTGCCCCTGCTTTGACACATGAACAGAAACTACAAGGTGAGTTCATCAAGTTATACAGATATAGTGACAATATCCTCTTAAGACAGTATTCATGATTTATAAAATATGTACCTGTAAGTGTTAAGTCAAACAGTGTAAAACAGTGATTTGGGGATGTATCTGGACTAACATTATAATGTAAAAACATCAATGAAAGAAAAAAAACCCTCCTTAATCTTCAACCTGCATATCAATAGTGAATTGACATTAGAGAGATGTTTATGAAATTTAATACTTGCTTTTGTTAGTTAAATGTTTACTATGTGTGCATTCCACACTGATGGTGACACTGGTTCATGGTTGCCGTGTGAGCTTACTAAAACCTGAGTATAAACCTCATGCATAAAAACTTATCAAATACACTGCTAATTAAATGATCAAAGTAAAACATGTTTGCCATTTGCATGTAATGTTTTTCATAACCTCTGTGATATTATTATAGCTCTTATAAAGGCAAGAGTCGATGAAATTTTGCCACCTCCACCACCAAATGATCCCTGGGCGAAACTGGTTAAAATATTTGGTAATGAATGTACCAGATAGACAGTTATAGAGAGAGTAGACCATTTTGTTGAACCTGTTCTGTAGGAGCATTTTGAGTCATAGTTTATATGTGTACTGACAGTAGATACTCATCTTTGTAGATACAGTAGGCAGTAATTATTTGTAGAAAATAAACAGATCACTGATGAGAGAGGTGCTGGACATAGGCTTTGGTCAACTGGAAGTTTCATTCAGGTCAATCAAAGCTAGGGTCATGAGAGCCCCATATGAGGGTTCATATAAGGTGCCACAATCCCTGTGCAGAGTTGCCTCCCTTGCACAAGCCAGGATCCTATGATTGTTGGTTGGAATCCTGGTTCACCCCAATTATGCAGAGTTGCCTCCCTTGCAGAAACCAGGAACCTATGATTATTGGTTGGAATCCTGGTTCACTCAAACTATGCAGAATTACCTCCCTTGCACAAACCAGGAACCTATGATTGTGTGTTGGAATCCTGGTTTATCCAGTTATTTATCTTGGTTTGTCAGCACCATGCATGTGCCCATGGATTTTACCGAAGTGGTAAATGTCTGAGACCTGTGTTATGTTGTTGTCAAGACACAGACACATTATTATGTTATTAGGACAACTGGAATACTGGTCAAAGACGCATGATACCCAAACCCACTCACTCATTCAAAGCCTGTGTTAAGGCTAAAAAATTCTCAGTACAAATGACAAAGCTCTTAGGTCAGAAATTGAAAGCGTTATTATATCTAGCAAACTCCCTCAGTTGTAGAAAACAACTGACATGACAAAATGGAATGAGTGAGAGATAGTTTCCTAGCAACACTCTCAGAGTGCATTATCTAACCATTGTAGCTTTGTGCCAGCATAACCGTATAGTCCACTGCCATTTACTGACACATATCCAGGGTTCATGTTGTACATCATTTTGTTTTAGCCAATGTCCAGTGCCATGTAGAAATTTTGGTTTGGTTGTTGTTTAAAGCTGTACTCAGCAATATTCCTGCTATATGGTGACAGTCTGTAAATAAATTGAGTTGGACCTGACAATCCAGTGATCAACATCATGAGCATCGATCTGTGCAATTGGGATACGATGATATGTGTCAATCGATAACAATATATAACAATCATTACTAATATATGTATTACATGTAAATAGATAGTAGCATATGTATTTTTACCTTGTTTTGGAAGCTTTTAGAAAAGTGACATATTTGATGAAGCACTTTAATTGTTTACTTTATTTCCTTCTGGGGCAGTATTAACAAGTTATAGCATTAGAAATATGCTTTTCATTCTTACATATGAATTAATTTATATTTGATCACATTCCTTTTTTGCCATATATAGCTGAGCCGAAAACAACTAAAGGTGACAAGAGTAAAATAGGTTAGCTGTGGTAGACTGGTAGTCAGTTGTTGTAGCAGTTATGCATTGTGTTGCAGATTTATGGCATGTTCCTTGTAAAAAGCTGCAAATGCTGATTGCATTAGATATTTGACAGTACCAACATTTATTTGTGCAGTTTGTGCATTTTGCCTGTGAATGCGTTGTATGCTTTTCTTTATTTTGTCAATAATTAATTTTTAGCTCACCTGACTCAAAGTCAAAAGGGTTTGTGTCATGGCCTGCTTGTTCAGAATTCAATGCTTCAAATTTAGCAGGACACTTCAAACCATTGTTTCCTCTGGTGTTGAGACCTAAATTTGTTCCAAAGGCTTGTGTCTTGACTTTCATTACCCTGCTAGGACTCAATGTGCAGCAGGTAACATTTATTGTGTTATTTTTTATAAAAAGTTTGACTGATTCACATTGGTCACACTCTTAACTCTTTCAAAAAATTTTTTGTGCCATAGTAAGCTTTCCCTTTTATAGTCACTAGACAGGGAGCTGACATTTAGCATGTGTGTTTCATCTTGTGTTGACATCATTTCTTACTGAAATCTATAGAAGATCAGGTGAATTGGTTCAGGGTATCATAATAGAATGGAGATATATTACCCTTGACAACAGAGGATGAGATGTAGGTCTGGTGTTGTATCATGATTTGTTTGTACAGGAATATCAACGCCGAACCAACTTTAAAACTTTAAATTGTTGACTCAATTATGATCCAGGAGAGCTGACTTACCTTGATGTTAATAATCTTAGAAAATGGATAATATAAAGCTGTTCTGTTTTCATCACCACTTCTAAAACAAAATTGCAATCAGCATTACCTTATAAACTCAGTTATAATGTGTCGATTTGTTATTAACGATGTGTAAAACAGTTGAAAAAGTTTCTCTTCCCAAATGACATTAGATCCAATATCATGATATTATACTGTTGGAGATGCTTGAAAAGTAGATGCTATAACACTTGACTTGTATATTGCCTGCTGTAGTGTCGAGACCAGTGATGATGAAGGAGGTGAAGAAGGAGGAGGCGGTGGACGGTGGTCTCAAGTTTTCTCCCCAGGCCACATTCAGCCTGGGCGACATGAAGGTCGACATCAAGAGCCTCCTGAAGGAGAAACGTCAGAAAGTGAAGGTCAAGGAGGCTGACCACTCCCATGTCAAGTCAGAGCAGACCGAACCTGTACAGGTGAGTCCGGTTGTTGGCATCAGTGCTTATTGCAAGGGTAGATTGGACCAGGTCTTATGATTTTTCATCTTTGTTTTGTTGTTTAATGCCACACTTAAGTATTCAAGCTATATAATCAGGGCCTGTAATTAATAGGGCTGCGCAATATAACGGGTTTACTGGTATTTACCGGTTCAGACATGAAAACGATACGTATTGCGATACGCTGATTGAAAACCAGTATTTTGACTTGCATTCGGAAAACTTCGTAACACTCGGAAATCTTCGGATATTTCCTTGTTTCATTTGTGCCAAATATTATTTACATTTTTATTTTATCATGATTAAAAGTTGTTATTAAAGCTTAATCAAGCATAGTGATTTTGCTATATAAATCAAACATTAACTCGATTATAAGTAGGTTTTTGTTTAAAAATACTTCATGCAATATATTGCTATACATATAGCAATATATGCTTTTGCATCACAATATATCGCAATATGAAAATTCTCTGCAATACCCACCCCTAGTAATTAACTGATTCTTGATGAGATAAACCAGTGATTGATATTAGGAGCATCACCCTCACTGTTTGAGTACAATAACACACAATCAACCATTTGTCTTTTTAGTTGCCTCTTACCACAACCCACTGAAGGCCTGGGTTGTTATCCCATCATGGGCACATTGTGTATTTCAGGCAATATCTGTCTATTCAACACTGAAAATCAGACGTTAATAAAATCAAAATATGAATAAATATGAAATAAAATAAAATAAATAATAGAATATTTTGTTGTTTTATAATTTTATTGTTTTTTAGATATGTTTTACACTGTAAATAATAGAATATTGATACAGAGCACTGGCAATGTTTTCAGGATGCTGTTTTGTCAAAGAATGTCACATGAAGGTTTAGACCTTGCTGAGTATACTCATGTTATTTAGTGTATTTAATGTTTGAAGAAAAGTCATTAATGTTCATGGGGCAACAGGGAGTGTTTGCTCATCACGATCAAGGGCTGGGTTTGATTCCCAACATGCGTGCTATGTGTAAGTCCCTTTTCTTTGGTCCTACAGTTTTATATTTCTAAAACCGGCATCAAACCATTCTCTCTCACTTTCTGATTTTCATTTCTGTCATTCTTGAATTTTAATATTTTATCCTCTAGGAGAAGCCAAAACGGCAAATTCAAAAGAAGAAAGCAGCTATTACAAGAAAGATGCCCAAAAGAGGTCAGAAAAGTGCTGTCAGTTTACTGGAGAAACTTGAACAAACAGAGGTGAAGGACAACCAAGAGAAGGTAATCCATTCACTGTCATTGACTGCTGCTTTAAAAAATTGCATGTTGATGTTTAGGGCCAGATGATGTGTGCTTGCACTTCTTAAAGACACATGGAGAGTTGCAATTAAGCTATCGATTTTTATATGTAAAGCAATCAGCATATTGACATGGTCATTTGGATAGGTATTGTTTGTACAATTATTATTATTAATCATAGTAGTAATTAGATTAACTGTATAAAATTAAAAAAATAATTTGTGAAGATGATAATTTATGATTAATATCAGTGGTACTTTGATTTTTTAATTTACTCATGCTTGCTGAAACACAATGAAAATTCTTAATCAACTTTAACTTTAACCAGACAAAATGGGTTTTTGTTCTCTCAGTTCCATATCATATAGGGATGGCTAAAAGATCGATAATCGGAAATAGCGTCGATAGGAAAAATGATTATTGATTATCGATATGAATATTGTGTCATCAATAGCATCATACATAAACTTTTGTTATAGAATTTGAATTTACTCACACAATACACAAAGTTAGGTATTTATTCATGGGCTGCTTCTAAATTATATTCAGGATGCTATTTTGTCAGTTACCCATGCATAAACAGGTCACCACTCACCAGTGGTGGGAAATATATTAATTACTTTCATACCTTTTTGCATTTTTGCTCAAACTTACTTCTCCGAAATTTAGTGATAATCGATTGATATTCAGTCAACGGTTTTCAATCTCTATAATCTATATGAATAGCCATCCCTAATCTCAAAACATCACATGTGATTTGAACCCATACAACAAAATTGATTTATATCATGCCTTAACACCCAGATGAAGTTAATTTGATTTTGGTGTCCCATTTTGCAAAATATGTCCCAAACTGAATATGTGTTTACAAGGTGTTTCTGTCTACATCCAAAGCTATGAACTTTGCAGCAGGCTGTGCATGCTTATAGATGCATTTTAAATGATTGAAGTTTGAAGTTTGGCTTGCAACATTGGAGTTTGAAAAGTAGTTCATCCATCTTAGGAATTTCTCATGGTAAAGGGTTTGCTATTCAATATCTGCAATGCATGAACCTCTCAGAAGGACGAACAACCAGCACAACAAAGGGCAGAAGAGATCACACAATCACCAGAAGCAAAGTCATCTCCAGAAGAAGAAGAGACAGTGATGAAGAATGAAGAAGGGAAACCTAGTGTCTTAGAAGCTGACCTAAGACCTGACCGAGTACCCCAAGGTCGAGATCAGTGAGCCCGATGGACCCTCAGTGCCAGATGTTCCATCAGTGCCAGGTCTACCCTCAGTGCCAGATCTACCCTCGGTACTGGGTCTACCATCGGTGCCAGATCTACCCTCGGTACCAGGTCTGCAGGAGAGAAGCCAATCAAGGGAGAGACTGAAATCTGGCAAAGTGAGGAAAAATCTTTCCTTTCTTGGTGAAGCAAGTCTCCCACTTGGTGACAGATCAGGGGAGGTCACTCTGGATGGTTTGAGTGATGGTGAAGATAGATCTGTTGAGTCGGGACAGGTAACAAAAATATTGACCTTGACCCTGTTACCTGTCTCTGGTTCCATTTACTTTTAGCTCCTACAGATCACTCTGTTAAACCTGTACTCTGTGTCCAAGTCTTGTGTGAAAACAGACTACTTGAAATATTCTGTTTTCTTATCTGTTTATTTCTGCTGTTTATTCTTGAATGTGTCTCAGTTTGGGGTTTGTTCGATTCTACTCTATTTTTTCCTCTTGCAATATATATTGATCTCATGTATATATAATGCCAATGTGTTGCTTTGTTTTATAGTTTATTATGTATATTGAGAGAAAAGTGGTATTATACATTTGTAAGAACTGTTAAAATGTTTAAAAGCAAACCATGCTTCTGTGAAACCATTTGTGTCATTTTAACTATAAACATGTAAACTTAAAACCAAATATATAAAATTAAATAATTTGTCATTCTTCTGTTAGATCTAATGAACTTGTTTTGTCACAATTCTTAAATTTCAAAATCAAATGTTCACAACTCTAGTATTTTCCAAAGGAACTGATACAAACCAAAACACAAGTTAAATATCCTTCCAACATTTTAATTTCAGATGAGACAAGACATTTCTCATGGAAGAGGTGAGTGTACCAGTATTTACTTTAGTTGCTTGATGAACACAGTGTCATCTGTTGTTGTCAGAGTCAAGATAGTTGCTATGTTGAGGACATACGTAGATTCTAATCAAATGCAGATTTGTTATTGCAATAGCTTTCTGTGTCAATACCTGCCAGGGGGCAGTGGGAGTAGCCAAGTGGTTAAAGCGTTTGCTTGTCACGCTGAATACCCGGGTTCTATTCCCCACATGGGTGCTATGTGTGAAGCCCATTTCTGGTGTCCCCCGCTGTGATATTGCTGGAATATTGCTAAAATTGCGTAAAACTAAACTCACTTACTCAATACCTGCCACGCCCTCCATGGAAGGTTGTTTTACAGGATGGAGTGAACTATAAGTGCTCAGTCTAAATAGAGGACGTAATGTTCTTGAGCCAATCAGATATCAGTTTAGTAGGATGATTCAACATTTCTTTTCATCAATTCAGAATTTTTTATTTTTAAAGAAAAATAGGCCCCATAGAAAATATATTCCTTAATAGGACCCATTTGTGTAGAAACCATGTGAAATGTACATATTGTACAAAACTACATAATTAGAGAAAGGCTCAACTTTGTTGATTTCCATTAAGGCCATTTAAGTTCATTTGTAAAATACAGATACAGGCATGTTTTTCTTAATGCACAGTTCACTCTTACTGAGACTTTACAAGCTGATTGTCTGATTAGAAATGTGAAACACAACCCAAAATATAGAGTGTTGATCAGATCTTCAAGCAGAGATGTGTCATATTTTTTTAATTTTATTTTATTTTTTTTAAATATTTATTCTGAGCATTTACACAGTTTTGCATGACAGAGTATTTAGGAGAATAGAGCGTGGCAGTTTGACCAAACCTTATTGAAGTAGTCTCTGTTACACTTAGTGACAGAGGTATACTTTGTTAACCTATAACATTCAGTGAGCTCCTTCTGTATGAACTGGAATGTTGGTGGGTAGTTATTCTTTCTAAAGTTGAAAATGAAATGTGTCATATTGATGTGATAGATCTTGGTTATGAGACTGACAGTATTAGTTTCCAGTAGATACACTAGGTAGGGTCAGTCAAAGTGACCTGACACTGTGGGTTTGTGAAATGGAGATGAAATGAAAAATAACAGATAGAGACAGGGATATTGTGAAATGTTTATACAGTAATTCTCAGTGAGCTTTGTAATATTTGCTTCATGCTGATTGACTGTTTCAAGACAATTGTTCCACTGTTCATATTGGTTCCAAGTTACCCATAGCAAGTTTCCATATTGACATATTGTCTCATAGTTGAAGATGGTGCCACCCATTGATTGTGATGTTACAGGTATTAGGTGAAGTTGTTCCTGGAAACAAGACCAGTTGAAAGAAAACAGCTTGCATATGTAGAATATATGTAAATTACAGAAATTAAGAACTGTAAACAAAATCCTAATTATTGACAGAATTGTGGGGTATTTCCTAAGCATGTCAAGGGCATGGTGAATCAAAGACTTCAGGAACAAATCAGGGTTTCTGGTTTGTCTGGTCCAGATCTAGAAATTACAATCTAAATGGGCTTAGTTCAATTTATGTTCCCTGATATTTTCACTCATTTGTCACATATTTGTCTGATTTTTGGTAAACTGTGTTTCATTTTGTCAACATTGTTAATGACAATAATTTGAGGACTTTCGCAATAGTGTCCTTATCAATTCAGTTTATTGATGACCTAGTAAAGCTTTGGCTCGAATCGATTCCCCATGGGCACCATTCGTAAGATTTCTGGTGTCCCTCGCCGCGTGATATTGCTGGAATATTGCTTAAAGCGGCGTAAAACTAAACTCAGTCAGTCAGTCAATCAGTTGAAACTTATGTTGAATTTTGGAAACTAGATTATCACAAACTGAATCCATTTAATGGGAAAGAAACTGACTTAATAATCGTCACATGTTTAACTCTTGTCAATATATCGCACTATATTCATATAGGAATAGTTGGGTAGCCATAGCAATAACATGTTTGCCTGGTCCAGACTCAAATATTTAAAGGCAACCATCATATGACTAAGATACTGCTGAGTGAGGCATAAACAAAGAAACAAACAAACAAATGATGTGTACATAGTGCAAAGCCAATTCTAAATGACACGGAATTGGTGAAGTATTGACAAATTAAATTAGTCATAAAATGAGAATTATTTCAATTTTCTTTGAATATGATGTATCATCTTTCATTATTTGAAGTTTAGCCTGAGATTCTTTACTGCACCACTTCATATTGATGAGGGTGGTGGGTAGCCCAGATGTTAAGGCATTCGCTCGTCACGCTGAAGACCCGGGTTCAATTCCCCACATGGGCACAATTTGTGATGCCCATTTGTGGTGTTCCTCGCCGTGATATTGCTGGAATATTGCTAAAAGCGGCGTAAAACCAAACTCACTCACCCACTCACTCACTCATATTGATGATATATTGACTTAGAATATGCTCATAAGGAATTCTCAAAAAACAATATAGGTTGATTTTCCAATCAACACAAAAACACAGCAGTCATCATTAATTTTACTTCTCTGTTCAGTTTAGTTCTTGCTTTTTTATTAGTTATGTTTTGTCTTTAAGATGATTTTAACTTGATTTTTCCTTTTTGAAACATTTCAGCAGTCAACATTCTGAGATTACCATCATTCAGTGAAGACACTGAGTCGATCCTGACTAGAAATCTGTCTCCACAGTTTGTCCCCAACCCCCCTGATTCCACCCATCTATCCGACAGCTACTGTGGCCCCCCTGCCACTCCTATGACCCCAGACTCTCCCCTAGGGGAGGTATCATTCTCGCCCCGCCCACAGCCGATAATGACGCCCGAGTCTGTTAATGTTGTCCTCCCACAGGTCATCCATGATGAAGATGACCTTGACATTAGATCATACAGTAAATTCATTTCCCTTCTCCATGTTTGACGTGCCACTTACCCTGCTTTTTTATCATAGTTATTATTATTATTACTACTATTGTCCTATGTTAAACCTCTTAGAAAATATCCCGCTTAAACTTAATTTAAGAGTTTCATGTCTCTTGCTTTCATTATTAGCTTAAACCCTTTTTTCAAATTCATTGCAAGAACTAAATTCAACTTAAGACATCTTTATTTAGCTATCACCAGAAATTTAGAGATGATTTCTCTCTCACCTTTAAGACATGTTTTTAAAAAAACATTTTATCATCAGGGAGTCTTTATAAACCCTCTGTAGCCTCCCTGTTGATGGTGAGTGCTATCTGAAGAATGGAGGTTTAACATATTATTTATGCACTGTGTACTCCAACCCTAACCCTGGTATTTCTGTGGTGAAATAATTCCTTTTTCAGATTTTCAAGGGTTTTTTCCAGCACAATATGTACACTATAACCCAGTGTATTATGGGATGCATTCAAAATTGTACTTCTACCATCCTCGATAATCTCCAGGGTATTCGTTCCGATAAATCTCTACTAGTACCCTGGATGCATCTATGGTAATTTTATTACCTCCCTTTGCTGGCTCCGCATTCTCACAGTAGCCAATCAGCTAAGCCGCCGTTACAACCGAGCTTGCCAGTGTCTACAAAGATAGCGGTCGCAGCCGCGAAGGTTTGTTCGCAGTGTGACTCAGATTTTGGTGGAAAACATACAGACAAATTGACAAATCTGAAACCCTTCAACAAATATATGCAAGAACCCCTTCTACCTCTTTCAGAGTATTATACCTGTGAAGGTACGGGTTAGAATATTGATCTTCAGTAACCCATGCTTGTTGTAAGAGGCGACTAACAGGATCGGTGGTCAGGCTCGCTGACTTGGTTGACACGTCATCGGTTCCCAATTACGCAGATCGATGCTCATGTTGTTGATCACTGGATTGTCTGGTCTAGACTCGATTATTTACAGACTGTCGCCATATAGCTGGAATATTGCTGAGTCCGGCGTAAAACTAAACTCACTCACTCACTCTTTCAGAGTACCTCTGCAACAATTGTGTTGCCAAGTTTAATCGGTTAGATAAAAGAAGTGAGTTGTGACTGGTACGCTCAACTTCCCAGCATAGACACCTGATTGGAGAAAAAGCCAGCCAAGGGAGGTAGTAAAATCATTGGGCCGAGCCAGAGATCCATCCAGGGTATAGTGGAGATTTATCTGAATGTATACCCTGGAGATTATCGAGGACGTACTTCTACAAGCCAGAGATATCTGTACATGTACTCATGTATTACCGTAGATAAGCTGATGTCATAGATAAGCTGGGGTCCTAACTTGACCTATTCTTCTATATTGAAGATATACCTTAAAATCTGGTTGGATTTCAATGGATACTATAATGAACCAATTTAGTTTTGTAAGAAATATATTTGATGTCCGACTACTCTAGTTTCCTTCATTTGATGATGCTATTCATGTAGTTTGGATAGCATTGAAATCACTCATTTTCTGTTCTAAAAATGAATGACTTCCCCCACAGAAAAATGAAGCTGAGATAGGAGGGTTTTTCAGCTGTTCCAGTGAACATTGTTGATACCCTGGCAAATCTTGTAGGTACATCTATGTATATTTGTTACTGACTTGGAAGGCTGGCAGAAGTATATTTTGAATGTATCCCAGGTTTTGGTGTGTGTTACCTGTATATTGTGCTTATATCCTACATTGCACACCAAAAGGAGATGATCTTGGAACTGCAGGAATAATTCTTGTAACTAATGTGTCAAATGCTAAACTACAAAGACCATTGGATCAGTCTTGTTTAACTTTGGTAAAGAACACAAGATTTGTTTCGCTGTCATTCAGCAATTTTTAAAGAATATTCACAAACATGAAATACTGAATCTTTGTGGCAGATGATATGAACTAAATTTTTAAATATATTCAAACTGGTCACTGAGTAGTTTGATACTTTAATTACTTTAAGGCTTCCTTTTTTCTGTTGTCCGGATGTTAGACAACTGTTATCCATTTTGTCCTTGTTATTCATACCAGCATTCCCATATTAAATTGAAAAAGATAATTTGGCTTTTATGAAGAAATTGATGTGAATATCATATCTATAATGTCAACATGAGACAGATAGGATTACAGTAGAAGTGAACTTATATCAATAGGAACCTTGTATAACAGCAATTACAGAACTGAGAGAAAAACTAACACTAATGTATTCATACAGGTGGTATTTAGGTAGTGGGAAAATTGTATAATATTTTACTTATATCTGTATATTTGTTTTTGACACAGTTGTTTATACACCTTGTATTCATACTGCACAAACACAGCACATACCCACTGCACTTGGTGATGGGAAGGTCAACAAATATAAAAGTATACATGTAATTAAAAGGTTTCAAGATTATGCATACCTTAAGACAAAAGTAACTGTGATCATATTTTCTTTACACATCATATTGTCAGGCTGTGGGTGGTGCAGTCTTCAAAAGCACTATATAAGAGGCTACTAACAGGATCGGGTGGTCAGACTAAACTAATACACATTTTGTTCCAAGAAAACTCACTTGATACTAAATGTAAAACTGGTTAATCAAGACAAAAAGTCATTAAGGTTTAAAATTTCTTTCTATTATTCTGTTAAGTGTGAAAATCCAAGTTAGAATTGATCTTCAGTAACCCATGCTTGTCATAAGAAGCGACTAATGGTATTGGGTGGTCAGGCTTGCCGACTTGGTTGACACATGTCATCGTATCCCAATTGCGAAGATCAATGCCCATGCTGTTGATCACTGGATTGTCTGGTTCAGACTTGATTATTTACAGTCAACCAGTCAAAAGGACTGCAGACTTATGTGCAGAGTTGTGTCCCTTGACATGTCAGGATGGTGTGACCATGGGTTGTAATGCTAGTTTGTCCACTTTCTGATTCTTGGGCTGTCCCAAACTCATGGGTTTCACCAGAATGGTAAAAATCCAAGACATCCATCACTGTCAGTTTTCATCCCACGTCAAGCCAACATGCTGTGAGACAGTCGAAACACTGTTCAAATTCACTACCTCATTGTTGTGATTTGTCTTGACAAGAAAACTCTAGACCAGTCTCATGTATTCAAAGGTTTAAAGTGAAGTGGTGTCAATTGAGCTGATGATGAACCTATTTCCAGTAACTCGTAAGTTGTTGAAAAGAAAAAGTAAAACAAATTATGCCTTCTGCTTTGCAATATTTGAGGTCATATTTAGACACAAGTGGGTAAACTGATTATTTTCATGTTTCATTAGAAAGTTAAAACAGGAATAAATATTGGATGTGACTTTATAAGTACTGAGTTTGTTGAGCACACAGTGAAATGGTTAGTCAGTTTGCCATGTAGTTATGTAGTCTATTTCATTATAGGTTTCTGTAATTTTCCATTGCCAATACATTCTTATGATTACAGTTACTTTTGTCTTTGGTTTACTTTACATGTCTTTATAGATATTTCAGGAAAAAATAGATTTGTCATGTTCAATATTTACAATTTTATGTTATCAAATCTTCTTTTGAAATCATCAAGTTTATTGCAATTTAGTAGTTAATTAACCTAAACCATGTTAGTAGATTAATAATCTTGTGTAAACTAATCGTCAGTACCTCTAGGTTTGGTATCCTTATGCTCTTCCATCTCCTGTGAATACACACTTTTGTTTGTGGTGTATAAGTAGTGAAGTGTCAACTAGTATGGAATAAAACCATGTATAACTCACGGAAGCCAAATAAGCCCTTCTATGAATATGCAGTGCCACTGAAAAAGTTATCAAATGTAACATGTAAAATGTTCTCAGTAAATTACAGATTCTAGTACCCTTTTTATCTGGGTCTCATCTAACATTCAAACCCACACTCTCAAAGAGAGGCTCCCTTTTTTGTGCATGAAGTTGTTAGAACCCCACCATATCCTGATATTGATGCACTGTCTGAAACATAAGCCACAGGAAAAGGACACATGCTGCCATTTGTGGTGGTGTGTGGTCCTGTGCAAAGAGCTCAGGTCACAAATCAGTTGAAGTTAAGCAACGGGGCCGGAGAGTCCTTGGTTGGGTGACTATGTTTGGCAGCTTGACTCCTAAAAGTTTCTAAAACTGCCCCACAACGAAGCACATGTGATGCATGTGGTCTCACCTTAGGCAAGTGAGTTTGTTTAAAATTGCCTCTGTTCACCCTGCAGAAAATGGGTACCCGGTGGGATAAGTCATCTGACAATTACCTTTCTAGCGCTTGTGTTATCCTGGGTAGTAATAATTAGATTGTGCACTTTTAGCAGGATATGAAGCCCGGAAAGGCGCGTTATAAATATTATTTTTATTATCATTATATCAGTGAACTCTGTGGCTTCCTTGCTGGAACCAACTCAGTTTGATTTGGTTAAAAGTAGCATTTACATGTCAAAGTGGATGTATGTATTCACAGGTGATGGATTACAATGTGTACACAAGCCCATGCAGTATTGACGATGGTTTAAACTATGTTCCTCCAAGGGATGAAGTTTTGACGGTAATTATTAAGATGTTGTAATTGTTAAGATGTAAGTTATCATGGATCTCTGCTAAGTGCCCATGTTGTTACGCAGTGGGGGAGTCGGACTCGGGGATGGACAGCGAGTTCATCTCGGTGTCGCAGCGAGGGATGTACCTGACGGAGACGGAGATCTCGGAGTGGGAGGAGGAGGAGAGGGTCATCATGGCGGGGATGCTGAGTGACCCGGGGAAGATCAGCCTGAAGCAGAGGCCTGCTTCCTCCTTTATTGACCGTCCAGAATATGTGCAAGGTGAATATATATATATATACGTTCTTACATCTTATATCATATATTTTACTTCACGCAACTACTTACCGTTCTGTCAAAGTAGTTTGGGAAACATACTGCAGTATTTCTGCAAAATTACCTGGATATATTTGTGAAATTTGTGAAATGAATGCATTTTTTTAATGAACATGGTTTGTTTAAAAAACGTCATACATTTACAGTAATGAAGTTGTAACAAAGTGTATTGCCAAGAAGTTGTAATAAATATCATTACACAGGTAAAGTTTTATTACAGTAGAGATCTGGGTTAGAATTGATCTTCAGCAACTCATGCATGTCGTAAGAGGCAACTAACGGGATCGAGTGGCCTGGCTCGCTGACTTGGTTGACACATGTCATAATATCCCAGTTGTGTAGATAGATGCTCATGCTGTTGATCACTGGATTGTATGGTCCAGACTCGATTATTTACAGACCGCGCCGCCATATAGCTGGAATATTGCTGAGTGCGGCGTAAAACTTAACTCACTCATAACCCTTGAACTGCAATAAATAATGGACAGATTCTACTCATGACATGATGACATGACATCGACATGATGTCTCAACAGACATGACATCAAGCCTGTATGTTGACACCAAGGTGCCAGAACACGTGACAACAGGATTGTCACTTACTGCTACTTAAATCAGTTCAAGAGTTACCTGTTATATTTATATATATACTTCACTGTACAACTTCCGTTCGAAAAGAATTCATGTTACTTTGTTGTGTTTTCAGATTCACGTTTTTAGCAAAACCAGGCCCCACACAGCAGCTAACGACCACTTCACTACAGAGGTAGGTGGCGCTCTTTTCTCTGAAACTGATATATCAGTATCATTATGTTTGATGGAATCAGGGTACTGGACCTAGCATCAGGTTTAGATGGACTTTAGTACCCGACTCCCTCACATATGAATGGATGGTGGGGCAGCCTTGAGAAATGGGTACTCAAGTCCATTTTATTTCTTCCTATCAGAGACCTGTCATTTATTCTGAGCAAGTTCTGTGTTCCGTCTTTCTCGTTCTGTAGCAGTCTTCCCATCCTACTCATCCATTTTGATATCATGATCTCATCTGAGATTTAAAGCAGAAAGAAAGGATGGGTGACTTTTTTTGAAAGTTTCAAGAATAAGCTGTTTGTAACCATGTGAAAATGTGTTTAATTATATTTTTTGAAAATCCTTAAATTTAGTTTTGACTGCATTGTGATAAGTGATTAGTTTTGACTGTAATCTGTCAATGCCATATATATTGTGATGCTTATCAGTCAGTGAAGTGAAAGCTGGCCATTCATTCACATTATTTCACACCAACTGCGAATGGCTACACAGGGATTTGTCTTGCCATGATCTGATCGACTTTGAATCCCATACTTTAACATTGACACTCAACAGTCATAGCACTCCGACTTTGAATCCCATACTTTAACATTGACACTTGACAGTCATAACACTCTGACTTTGAATCCCATACTTTAATACTGACACTCGACAGTCATACCACTCGGACTTTGAATCCCATACTTTAACGTAGACATCGCGACAGTCATAGCACTGCAACTTTGAATCCCATACTTTAACATTGACCTGAGTGTGGTGTTAACAGTCATAGCAAAACCAAAAGAATCAATACTTTAACATTAACACTTTCGACAGTCATAGCACTCTGACTTTGCAATCCCATACTTTAGCATTGACACTCGACATCCATATAACACTCTGACTTTGAATCCCATACTTTAGTATTGACACTCGACAGTCATAACACTCTGACTTTGAATCCCATACTTTAGTATTGACACTCGACAGTCATAACACTCTGACTTTGAATCCCATACTTTAGTATTGACACTCGACAGTCATGGCACTGCAACTTTGAATCCCATACTTTAGTATTGACACTCGACAGTCCTGTATTGACACTCTGCACTGCAACTTTGAATCCCATACTTTAGCATTGACACTTGACAGTCCTGGCACTGCAACTTTGAATCCCATACTTTAGCATTGACACTCGACAGTCATAACACTCTGACTTTGAATCCCATACTTTAGTATTGACACTCGACAGTCATAACACTCTGACTTTGAATCCCATACTTTAGCATTGACACTCGACAGTCATAACACTCTGACTTTGAATCCCATACTTTAGCATTGACACTTGACAGTCCTGGCACTGCAACTTTGAATCCCATACTTTAATATTTTCGACAGTCATAGCATAACACTCTGACTTTGAATCCCATACTTTAACATTGACACTTTCGACTCATAACACTCTTTGAATCTTTTTTAGTATTGACCCATTTTAACTATTGACATCTTTAGCATTGACCAGTCATAGCTCCGACTTTGAATCCCATACTTTAACATTGACACTTTCGACAGTCATGGCACTGCAACTTTGAATCCCATACTTTAGATTGACACTCGACAGTCATAATCACTCGACTTTGAATCCCATTTTTAACATTGACACTTTCGACAGTCATAGCACTCTGACTTTGAATCCCATACTTTAACATTGACACTTTGACACCTTCGACAGTCATAGCACTGACTTTGAATCCCATACTTTAACATTGACACTCGACAGTCATAGCACTCTGACTTTGAATCCCATACTTTAACATTGACACTCGACAGTCATAGCACTCTGACTTTGAATCCCATACTTTAGTATTGACACTCGACAGTCATAGCACTCTGACTTTGAATCCCATACTTTAACATTGACACTCGACAGTCATAGCACTCTGACTTTGAATCCCATACTTTAACATTGACACTCGACAGTCATAACACTCTGACTTTGAATCCCATACTTTAACATTGACACTCGACAGTCATGGCCCTCAGACTTTGAATCCCATACTCGAACATTGACACTCGGCAGTCATGGCACTCCGACTTTGAATTCTATACTTGAACATTGACACTCGGCAGTCATAACACAATAGTGTACTATTTTATATATGTAGAGATCAATATACGTTTGTGTGAGTTTTCATAAATATTCCAGAAATATCAGTCAGTACATTCATTTTGCTTCTGTAACCAATGATTCAGTTAAAAATACCCTAACTTATAACTACAGTGACTTTGAATGTCATGATAAAGATAGATAAACCTGAAATAATTATTGACTTCAATACCGGATACCTTCTTGGTAAGAAATGTGCACAAGCTTCTTCTTTGGTATTGGTTTTTCAGATACCTCACTAAAATATAAGCAGTTGGTGTTAAGGGAGGGTGACTTTCTGATCAGTTCAAACACAATTTGGTTGATATTGACATGCCCATGTTAAGAGATTGGGATTTCTGAAGTTCAGATGGTGATTTCAGTGCTGTTTAGAAATTGAAATTTCTGAAGTTCAGATAGTGGTTTCACTGTTGGTTACCTTCTTGGATTTCTGATGTTGTTTTGAGACTGAGAATAATGTTCAGATATTGATTTCTCTGTTATTCAGATATTGGAGATGATATCATTCAGATATTGATTTCTCTGTTATTCAGATATTGGAGATGATATCATTCAGATATTGATATTACTATTTTTAAACGATTCATATTATTACAGACTGTAGATATTTATTTTTATGCTTACTAATTTGGGCTATTTAACTAATTCTGGACACCTATTTCTATGGAAATAAATGATTGTAATTCTTCATCTTACCTCAAAACAACTGACTTCTTTCTCACTAAAATTTTTGGGGCAGTAGGGTAGCCTAGTGGTTAAAGCGTTCACTCATCACGTCGAAGACCGGGTTTGATTCCTACATGGGTACAATGTGTGAAGCCCATTTCTGGTGTCCCCACCATGGTATTGCTGGAATATTGCTAAAATCGGTGTAAAACTAAACTCACTCACTCACGCGCATTAAAAGTTTGAAGAGAAGTGGTACTTGTTTTCTCAATAAATTCTAATTTACTTTCACTCTTTCAGTGATCCGAAACATAAGCTCTTTGTTTGTCAGTCACAATAATCAGTGTTTGTTAGGCGTGATTCTTTTTATAAACAAAGCACACCCTTCAGCTGTGTCCATGCATTATCGCGGTATTATTTGTCACAGTGTTTCACAAATGAGCTTCAACCAGTTGAGATTTCTATCAGGGGAATGCAATCTGTCTGGAAGTTTATGGGTGAGGCAGCCCACTTATAATGGTGCGATTGAGTTTAAGATTAACTTGGATCATCCATGCTAATCCTCTCAGAGGATTTAGCTTACTGAAGTAGTGTTAAAGATATCTGCTTACATGTTTGTCAACTGTGTTTCTGGGACATTGAGTGATTGTCATGCAAAATGTTCTAAAAATGTGTTTCAGGTTTGGCACAGATATAAATAATCGTTACTTCACAAAATCAAGAAAATGTTCTGTATATTATTTTTGTGTTGTGCAAATATACAAAAATGCATCAATTTCACACATAACTATAACTACAACATCAAGACTGAGGTGAGACATGGGCAACTGAATGGGCAAATCGCCATTAAAAACTAAATTTGATCCTAAAATTTCAGTTAAGTATAACTGAAATAAGAAAAATTTTGTAATTGAGATTGAAAGTGAAATTGATCCCAGAACAGAAATAAATCAAACAAACAATAACAAAGATTGATTAGAAAATTTTACCCAATCAAATACCAAACACTACTGAATAGCCTGTTCAACCAATAACAATAAACGGTCTAAGTATATAGAGAGCCATATATTACTCTGTGTCACTTGTCTCTTTCAGTATAGTCAATGTAGCGAGCATTGCTACAAACTAATGTCAGAGCTTTAAGCCATTGAAGTTTACTGAGGTATATAAGCTGATAATAATCAGCTGGATTGCTGTTTTGTTTCCCATAGTTCTCAGCATATATCTGAGGAAGGATTTGGAGGAATTGCTGTGGTTTCCTTCTCAGATTTCGCATTGTTTGTTAACTTATTAATATGGCGTAAATATACTGCCATGTTAATGGTGGATTATAGTATGACTTCACTATGTGTTCAGTGTCAGTGGTGGCACTGGTGGGATGTTCATTTCAATGTGTACGTTGTTCATTTCAATGGATGTGAAATAGACGTCGTAGATGAATGAGCTCTGAGGTTAATCAGTTTCGTGGATGTTATTAAACGCCTTTGGTATGCTGTTCTCTACAGGAAGGTGTGGATATTTTTCTGTGATATTGATGTGTGGATATTTCATTTAGTATCGCCAGATCTTTCATGTGTTTCGCCTATGAGTGGATTTCGATTTGCAGACATGTATATTTCACTACAGAAGTAACGGCCCTGAGATTCATGGTGTTGGAATGATGCGTTTTTTCACACTTGGCTTTCAAACTGGATGGATTTTTTACACTTTCATCTCTGAAAAAAACCTCATGGATTTTTTATTGAAACAATCCAATCTCTTGAGTTTTATTAAGTCATTTCTCATGTATATGTCAAATGCATGTTTACGTCAGGTGCAGAGTTAGGGTGGCATATATATCACTCACAGTCTGAAGCAGTCAATATTTTATTACCTTCTTCAGGAAAGTTCAGTCTGACATCAAGATTTTATGATTGCGAGTTTGTTTCAATTTTCATTGCATGTTTTTTATGAAGCAGAATGTATTGAATTTTGTCTGTGTAATATTAGCTCTTAAAAATGATCACATTTTTTATTAATTTGTTTTTGTGCCTTTAGAGCTTATTTTAAATCAATACCTGAAGTATATTCATTATATATTTGAATAGTAACAAAGGATAAAATCAAATCAAAGAAAGATTGATGGGTATATAGGTCATGCTGGG